GTCAGAGTCACCACTTGGTGCGTGTCCGTGCTACATCCATTTTCAAGCGGGTAAATGGGTTGTGGTTCTTTTCAAGGAATTGAACGATCTGCAATTGTTTAATTACAGGGCATTGCAACCCAAAAGTACGCTGTCCGCAAAACGAAATCAACGCAAGTCAATAGAAACAATAAAATTCTTTTCGAAAACTTACAATATTACGCCATTGTTTTCCCCCAACGGGAACGTTGTGGACAGCTTATGTTATAGCGTAAATAAGGTCAAGGAGAAAGGCGAACGGTTGTGTCGAATGCCGGACCTTAAATTCGGTTCCAACTCTCCGCTCTCTCAGTTGCAAAAGTAAATCGGTGTAAGACGCCGCTTTCGTTCCACGCATCCGAATCCGCGTAGCAAGCCGACATTATTATCACTTTGACGTCAAAACATCAACTAGTTAACAATGCAATTGTTCTGATGTGTGTATAACAAATATTATATTATTGGAAAATTAGAATATTAACGTTAAGAAACTGTTATTGTTTACTGAGCCGTGATAAAAATACTCGTTGAAGAACTCGTAAAAGATACCCAGGCAGCACACATGTCTAAGGCCCGGTCTACAATGAGTCGTTAGTCGTTAGTCAGAAGTCGCAACTATATGTTGATCCTTTTCCTTTCTGGGTAGAAGAAAAAGGACCGACATATAGTTCCGACTTCTGACTAACGACTAACAACTCGTTGTAGACCGGGCGTAAAAGACATCTTTAAGACGTCATTAAGTTATCTTTTAGACATGTACGTCTAAGGCCCGGTTTCACCAACGTCGCTTAACTTTAAGCTTAGTTCAATTCGTTCCTTGTCTCTTTTCAACTGTTACTTTAGGAAGAGACAAAGAACGAATTAAGCTAAGCTTAAAGTTAAACAACGTTGGTGAAACCGGGCCTAAAAGGTGTCTTAAAGATATCTTTATGGCCCCTTTTAGACATGTGTGCTGTCTGGGCAGTGATAGTGAAGCTATATCGATAGAGGAAGATAGTGAGCAGCATATAGATATTACAATCACCGCGTTATAAATAGTGCCTCTCGTCACGTCCTCATTACAAACGTAATTAAGATAAGGGGTATAAAAGAACTGGAGATCAAAATGGAGAAAGTCCAATTAAATATGCAGAGCAGAATCGTCCCGTCTGAAAGTAGAACGAAAGTAAGTGACGCAATGTTGATTTTCCTCTACAAAAATGTTCGCGAAAGAATGAACGGACTGACACGTGTCCTCAGTAGCACAGTGCATTGGCCGATATTGTTCCAACGTGAAGCCAATACTCCCTGCCGGAAATAATTCTACAAAATTCTACAAAAAGTTAAATATAACTGCCAGAATCTAAGATATTCTACGTAAATTTAAAAAGTGTTGTAAAAATCAACATGAAAATGCAGCTTGAATTGGAACACCTTTGTTAATTTCTGTAATATTTTACAAGTAAGCAGATGTGTTAATTCTTCAAGATTTTGTTGTTTCTCAAATTTTTGAAGTTAGTAAAGTCTTGTACTAATTTTTACAAAATTGTACATTTTCACGAAATAGTACTTTCAATAATTTCTTGATTTGAGAACATTGTAATTTTTGGTACTATTTCGTAGATATTTTTACTAAAAGATAAATGCTTCAACGAAGATATAAAAATGTGTACAAATTTATATGTCAAGTCAATTTTTTGCGGTTACTTATAGAAAGTTTTTCCACCAGGGTTGGCCGTGAAACAAAATGCAAATAAATATTAAACGACATATAACAATGTAATAACAATATTGGTCTAATATTGATGTAATATCTTAGACCAATATTGCTAAATAGATATATAGGGCTAAGTAAGAAATTGCTACTAGGAGCCTTATGGATCGCAGTATCCACCGCCGTGTAAAATCGTGGACAACGTGATAATCGGCGATGAGGGGCCGCTGTTTAAGGAATGCTTGGGCTATGGCGAGCTGCTCTTTGCGAAACTGAACGGCAATCCGGACCTCGTAGGACAGGTATGTTAATATATCGTGAATTATACTTGTTCGGACACACTGTTCGATGTAGTGACCCAATCGTCTTGTTAAACGCAGATAGACCCGGTTACGGAGAAACGAACGACCTTCGCCGAGATGAGGGAACGCAGTGTCAGGTGTGCGTTGTGGTTGAAGAGTCGAGGAGTTGAACACGGTGATGTCGTCGGGATTTCCACCAATAATCATCCAGACTGCGCGATACCCTTGCTCGGATGTCTCTTCGTCTGCGCGCATTTCTATCCCATGCATCACGAACTTAATATACGTACGTTCCTTGTCACGAATGGTTCTCGCAATCCTTAACTTATTTCTTACTCAGAAATTTCACTAAAATGAGTTTAAATTCGAACGAATAAAAATCCTTTGAATTTTTGTGTTTGTCACACGAGAGCCTTATGAATTTTATAAATTTGTTGAAATCTGATCGATAACTTACTTTCGACTATTAAATAGCATTGAACATCTTTATATTCGACGCTATTGGTCTCATCAGGCGACAACCGATATTTCTTCCTACTGGCGAAATGGAAAGTTACCTCTGCACACTGATTTAATTAAGCTTCGACTATTCAGTTAACAGCATTAAATTTTTTTTCTATTCGCCGTTGTAATCGCTACTTCTCGGGATTGTTACAGATGACAGCCGATATTTCCTTTCTCTGGGAAAACCCAAAGTTGTCTTCGTGAACATCGACATGGTTGAAACCATGGCGAGGGCCGCGGAGGAAGAAAATTTGACCATTGATTTCGTGACTTTTGGCCACGTGAAGGGATTTCAGAGTTTCGAGGAAATTATTCGGGAGCAGAATCCCGCGGCGGTCGACGAGTTTCGTTGCACGCGTATTTCCAGTTTGGAGGAGACTGCTCTGTTCTCCTTGTCATCCGGTAGTACCGGGCCGTCCAAAGCAACGCTGATGTCGCATCGGGCCCTGATTAACAACATGTTTTACGACGTCACGTACGCCACGGAGGATCAAAAGATATTACTGTGGTTCAGCACATTACGATGGATCACTGGCACCCTGTTGATCCTTCGAGCGGTCTACTTCTGCAAGACGCGAATTATCTGCGACAGATACGACAACGAGCTGGCGTGCAAACTGATCGAGAAGTATAACGTAATAGTCCCACGAGTGCTAGACTGAAAATTCGTTTCGAGCACAGCTGAAGAAAAATCGTTTTCGCAGGTGGAATTTGTTTGGTTTCAACCCAGACTGATGGCGAACATCTTGAAGAACGGTCTTCTTGAAAAGTATCGTTTGCCATCCTTGAAGAGGCTGGCCTTGGGTGGAGCACCTATGAAACTACACCTGCTAGAGACCTTGAAGGAGGCCTTGCCGCATACGGAAATTTTATTCCTTTATGGTAAGAAAGAAAACTGAAGGAAACACGATTACTTAAAGAGTGAAAAGTAAAAATCCCGCATGAGAAATACAAAAAGGTGTTCGGACCATACGCGATCTTTCAAGTATCTTCGTATAATCGTTCGAGAATAATAGTAAGATTTATCACAGGCATGAGCGAGCTTTGCGGCATTAGTGCTGGGCAGAGACGAGGCGACAAAATGGGCTCCGTGGGTTATGTGGTTAAAAACACACAGCTAAAAGTAATCGATGTCGATACGGGAGAGAAATTAGGTCCGAATAAAATCGGCGAGCTTCTCTGGAAATCACCGTATATCATGACAGGATATTATAACAATCCTGAAGCCACCAAGAAAGCTGTAAAGGATGGTGGGTTTTCTTAAATTTTTAATCAGTAAATCGTACGGGCGTAATTACCCCGATAGGAAAATGTCTCAAATCAATGGCTGCGTTCGGCAGGAAAAGCTGCTTTGCAACTGTTGTAAAATTCGTGAATCTGATTGGTGTGTTCTCTCAATCTTGTGTGAATTTAAGAGCATACGCCAATCAGATTCATGAATTTTACAACAGTTGTAAAGCAGCTTTTTCTGCCGAACGTAGCCAGTGTGTAATCATTGCATCCAGCATTTCAAGTTTCATCCAGATTTCGTCACATTTGCTAAATATTTTCTTATCGGAGTGGCACGTTGAAATATCTTCCCTCAGGTTGGCTGCACAGCGGAGATTTCGGTTATTACGACGAGGACGGGGAAATTTTTATACGTGACAGAATCATGGATACTATCAGGATCAACGGACTCATGGTGTATCCCGCTGAGATTGAAAACGTGCTCCACAAACACCCGGCTCTCCGCGAAGTTGTCGTTGTGGGCATACCTGATGACATCGTGGAAGAATATCCGTTCGCTTTCGTGTCGAAGGCTTCTGGCGCAGAGGTTTGTAAATCGGTATATAAATCCGACAGAAAGTACGGCATTATAATCGTCAGCTTTGCTTCACGCCCTTAAACAAAATTATCAAAAAGATCTGGAATTTTTCTTCATTTGAAATTGTATCACAGGTGACAGCAGAGGAACTGATGAAATTAGTAGCGGATAATTTGGAGAGTTACAAGCACCTTCGTGGAGTACAATTTCTGGACAAATTTCCTTACACGGAAACTGGCAAGATTGCGAGGATGCAACTTAAAGAAATGGCAAAACGTTTTGTATCCGATTGCGTGCCTGCCTGATACACGAAACAATCAGTTTAATGACAATAGTTAGATTTATCAATTAAATATGTTATTACATTTTTGTACGTAGACTGCTTTCCATTTCGAATTTAATTCAAATGCAATCGACACTGGAACTATAACATTCTAAGTTCCAAATTCTACATCATTCCAAATTCTACATTCCTCAACACCATTTTTTCGTTCTTCAATATCAAAATTTGATTCTTCAACATCAAAATTTGGTCCATCAACATCGAAATTTGATTCGTTAACATTAAAATTTGATTCTTGTCTTGTCTTGTCCTGTCTTTTCTTTTCTAACACTCTCGTGTTACCGACATTTCGTGTGCATGCAGCACGGAACACAACCAAAATTAGGCACTGCATTACCTTCTTAAAAAATGGGCGTAGCACGGATACGCACCAATATAAGTGGAGACTTTATCGGCAGTGCTTGAAAATGGGTGTAGCGGAATAGTTCCAAAAATGAAAATGGGCGTAAAGCGCTGGAATCGGTCGAAGAAAACGGTAACAAGTAAAATGCCCGGCGTGGACCCGGTGGACCGCTCTCAGGTTTCTCTCTGCTGGAGATCGGAGCACGGTCAGTTTAAAGAGTACGAATTTCTAAACGGAATGTGCAACGTGGAGACTTAACAACAATTTAAAAGGGACGTCTGCGTGCACAGGAGCTTCTGGTGAAATCGGAGAAATTCTCGGAACTCCCGTTTTTCCCACGAACTGGTGAGGATTTTAATAACACTGCAAATTTTCATACCACGTGGTCGCGTAATCCAGTACGATGATCCGACTTTTCAGCCGATTACCGAGGAACGCGCTATCCGGCGGCTTCTCCAATCTTTTTACGTGGCGGGAAACCTGCCCCCGCGACGCCGCTGTCAGAACGATGTCGGGGAAATCGACTGTGAAGATCGGCACGCACGACGGAACCTTTCATTGCGACGAGGTCCTCGCCTGCGCGCTCTTAAAACTGCTACCGCAGTACAAGGATGCGTCTATAGTGAGGTAATTGTCCCCGCGTGTGAAAGCCGAGAGTTTTAACGCGTTGGACGGCAAAGTCGAGACAAGGGACCGGCGTGAACTTGTAACATCGAAACGAAATGAATAGAAAATGTTGGGTTGCAGAATCCATGGGTGTCCCATTACATTTTTAGATCTCGGAATCAAAGCGTCTTGGATACCTGTGATATCGTGGTGGACGTTGGCGGAGAGTACGATCCTTCCAGACGTCGCTACGACCATCACATGAGGTAGGGTGATGAATTTTTTAACTGTACCCCAGCGAGAAATGGCTCGTTGATCGATGTCGGAACGTGTGTCGAGTCAATTCGACAGAGTCGAGGTCGATTCGACGAATCGTTTCTCACTGGGACACCAAGAAATCTCTTCGCTTTACGCCGTTGTGTCAGTACCAATCCATTTTCCCTTTCAGAGAATTCCAGGAGTCGGTGAGTACCGTTTTGAAGGGACCAGGCTACGATTGGACGATAAAATTAAGCAGCGCGGGACTGATCTACTGCCACTTTGGCCACGAGATATTGAGGTGCGTGCTCGCGGACGTGACGGAGGACAGAGTCATCGATGAGATCTTTAAGAAGATTTATGACACGCTGATCAAGGAAATCGATGGTATAGACAACGGCGTGCCGATGTACGATGCGGAGCCATTGTGAGTGGTTGCCTGTGGCATTAACCCAGTTCTTGAGCGACGTCGATCAAAAATTGACGATTTTTCGAATGAAAATCGAGTTTTCTCATATTAGGCTTCTCCTTTTTGATTTTCTGTTGGCACCATTGGAAAGAGCACCCGCGAAAACGTCAGGACAGTTTGGTTTAGAATTTCCCCCCTTTTCAAATTCATTGTGTCGCGACGGTTCGAAGAGAACTGCAAAATCCAGGACGGTCCGACGTTAATGGGTTAACACGCGCCGCGCGGTACGCTTCCCCAGGATTATTGCACGTGCGGTTGTTTCAGGTATCGAATAGTCACCGATTTAAGCGCGCGCGTAGGCAGACTGAATCCCCAGTGGAACAGCCGGGATGTAAATATCGAGAAACAATTTGAGAAAGCCATGGCTCTGGTTCTGGAGGAATTTTTAGAGTTCGTACAATACACGAAAAACGTTTGGCTACCGGCGAGGGACGTCGTGCGGCGCGCCGTGGAGGATCGTCTCGAGGTAAGGCGAGCCCTTCCTCCATTTGTCTTTTCGCTCTCGACGTATATCTCCGACTGTCGTTTAACGCAAAGTTTCCCACGCAAGGTCGATCCGAGCGGTGAGATAATAGCGTTGTCGCAAGCGGTGCCGTGGAAGGAGCATTTGTTTCAACTGGAAAAGGAGATGAATGTGTCGCCGTCGATAAAATACGCCATTTTTGAGGCCGACAACGCTCATCGAGTTCAGTGCATGCCGGTGGCATTGGGCAGCTTCGTGTGCAGGATGTTCCTGCCCGAAGCGTGGGCCGGCTTGCGCACCGACGCCCTTGTGGAAGCCTGTGGACTCGAAGGCGCCACGTTCGTGCATTCCGTCCGGTTCATCGGCGGTCACAAAACCAAGGACGGCGCGGTGGCCATGGCGCGGAAGGCGCTCGAGATCGGGAAGGCCGTGCAACGCGCGGAATGACGGTGTCTAGACCGCTGAGCTTTTTCTTACAATTTTCTACCGACTACTGAACATTTTTAGAAACATTTTTTCGAGAATTGAACACGCAACTCGTTCGCATCGCGACCTATTTAATATTTAATATACATTTCGCCCTATTTAAGACGTTACACGTATTGCGTAACGCTCGTTAAATCCCGATGTAAGAAAAAGCCGTGTCATCTTTTCAATCGTCCAAGTACTTTCGAATGTATTCAATAAGTTCGAACTAAACTGCCATAAACGTTTATTCCAGAAGCTCGAAAAGAATGGCTCGTTTATTGTCAAAGTTTCCTCACATCAGATCCATAATAAAACATGGCACGGGTTTCTCCGTATGCTCTTCCGCGATCGAAAAGAGACGATTTGATCGATGCTCGTCAATCGGCGTTTCGGGCGGCTGCTTGAGCGTGTGCGGCCAAATGCGCGGCCTTAGCCTGGGCCACTTCGGGAGTGTCGATTACCCGGCCGTCAGGCCCAAGCGGTGCGTAGCTGTAAGCGTAGAACGCAGGCGAAGTGGCATACGCCAGAGCACCGTACGGGACCAACCCACCTGTCTTGGCAGCCTCCTGCGTGAAGGAATATTTAATTAAATCACTCATCGGTATGTCGTTGCGACGTGGAGAATCACAAAGGGATCAATGTTGCCAACGCGCCTCGAAGATAAAACGATACGAAACGAGATAAACGGAGCATCACGACTTACACCTGAATACATCTAATATCTCTACAGATCAGCGTTGCATCGGCGGTTCTCGACTTTTAATAACAAAGAGCGGCGCTACGCTGAATATATATCGGTCACGAATAGCTGTTGCCGTTTGCGCAACCATCTCTAAACCGAGAGTGTCGTACTTGGGCGTGAGCGGCGAGATGGGCAGCCTTGGCCTGGGCGACCTCAGGTGTGTCTACCACCCGACCGTCCGCGCCGATGGGCGCGCCGTACGTAATCGCAGGTGCATAAACCGCAGGTGCATAAACGGCGGGCACGAATCCGTAGCCGAGCGTGTTCCTGATGGCCTCGTAGGCCTGGGTGGCGAGATGGGCCGCTTTCGCTCGCGCTACCTCCGGCGTGTCCAGGAGTTTTCCGTCTGGTCCGAACGGTACGCCGACGTGATATGTCGAATAGGCCGGTGTTGCGGCCGCGATGGCGCAGAATGCGAATAGAACGATCTGCAAAAGAAATGCTCGCGTAAATCCTGTGCGTAGATAAAACGACCTCGAAATCGAACAAGCCTGACTATGGAAAAGATTTATTAATCTCAGTATCAATTCAACTAATGGAGTCAGTTCGACGACGGTCGAGTCGATCGTAGAATAGACCGAATGCAGTTAAATTTTCGTCCGTTTAGGACTAATTTTTCGAGGGTCCCCGGCCGATCGATGGTACTCACGAGAGCCCTCATGTCTTATCAGTGCGATCAAGCGCTGCTGGGTGATTACCAGTACTCGCCCTAAAGTACGGACTGCTATGTCGTGCCGCGTCGACGCGAGGATCTCCTTTTATACATGTGAATCCAGGTAGGGAGTCGTCGACCCGTAGGAGGGGACCGCACCCTACGGCAAGTATTATGCCTCAAAGTGCTGACATTGACATTACGTTAATGAGGCCCTGCCACTGTCTGAATCTGCCCGGGGAGGGATATTATCTCCGGCTCTCCTCAGACACGGGCGCATCGTCGAGGTCAGTCTCGCACCGTCTACCGGCTTCGTTGCCCGGCACTTTTTCACGCTCGTCGCCGCCAAGGGCTCGGCGGACTTAACAGGAAGCGGTTCGCCGCACGAAGGGTCGATCACTTTTTCCTGGATGGATGCGCGGAAAGCGACTCCGGCCGTAAAACCTTGTTTATTACCGCGAAATTGATGGATAATACGCGTTCGACTCACGGACGTATAACCGCACTGCGCGAGACTATCATCTTCTTGGCAGGCGTACATGAATTTATATATGTGTAACGTGCCAAATGAGGCTTGACCGATGGGCGATAGTGATTAATATAAAGACCCGTACGCTTTTCCTGAATTTTGCATGTAATTTGATAGTATTATTTTAATCGACTCGCTAAATTCTGCTACCAAACTTGGTGCACTCGCGATCGCGTCATCGCGTTTACATATTAAAAAAATGTAAATGGCGTAAAGACGTGATGTCGAACAGTTATAATCGCATTTGTCTTCTTATTGGCAGATCCCTATGTTTATCCGCGGGAAAAATTGTTTCTAAGAAAAATAAATGAAATCGCCATGTTCGACGGAGGATCCCCCGTTCATCGCGTTACCATAACTCCTCGATTCTTTCAAGCGCGACCGATCAACAGCCGTCCTTGCCGATATCAAAGCGAAGCTGCCGAAAGGTGGAAGGGAAAGGGAGGGACAAGGCGCAATTAAAATGTATGAGGTGCGACGTAGAAAAAGAGAGCGTGCCGAAATGAAGGTCGGCCGCGCGTCCTCGAGAGACTTTTCCTGGATGAGATCGGGATCGCTCTCTGACGTGCGTCCGATACCGGCAGGTGCGGGGCGCGTCTTTTTGCTCGCCGTCGAGAATTCCACTTCCTCAAGGTCTCACTTCCTGACGAAACTCTCTTTGTGCCGGGGACTCGCGCAGGTCGCTCTGACCGCCCGACGTTTGAACAGCTCGCGATATCTCGCGGGAGAAAAGTCTCGAGGAGCCAGAGAGATTCGACCACCTTTCTCGAGACATGAAAGTTTCTTCCGCAAAAAAATTAAAGCGCAACCGATTTCTGAGATATTTCGGAAAAAATTATGAACGTGGCGCAAATTTAACTCGCGAAAACTTTTCAAAATTTTATTCACGGGGTTGCTTCGGGTGCAGGAGAGGGGGGTGGCTTGAAACTTGCAGAACTGCTTCGTAATATTTATTTGAGAGATTTGTATCAGTTGCGTTTATGAAAATGAAGAGTGTAGTAAATCGTAACGCCTTTATGAGCATTACGTTAATTCATTATACGCGCTGCGCCAACGTAATACCATTGAGCAACGACCGTAAGATACATTTGCACACAATGGCGAATTGTTAACCTTATGATTTGCACGTACATAAACGCGGTGAGTTAATTACTAAAATTACTTTAAATAATTTAATAAATAATTAATGAGAGGTCCGTAAGTAGGCCACTTACGGAAAGTGACGTAGTTATTCACGCGGTACGGATATTATGTACGTTATCCCAGCAAGAGACATGCGGATGAGTCATCGCTTTTATCTCTAGTAAGGGAACAGATTAGAGCGATTAAAGGCTGCTCACTTGGAAAGGTAAACCGTCAAGAGAGCCTTAGAAGACGGAGCACATTCGAACGAGGTAATATTTCTAAAAAGACGTTCAATGAAAGATGATGCCACGTCATGGCACCCTTTCCAAAGAAGATGCAGCGATTGTCTTGTCGGGTCAGCCTGATACAATAAATATCAGAAATTTCATATTAGCAGCAATACTCTGCGCGCGAGAGGAAAATTACAATACGTAGTATCTATAGTATGATTTCACAACGTGAGTAACGCATGACCGCTATTCGGAACATTGCGATAATTTCGATTTCCCTTTATATAAATGCGGAGAGCAATTTTCACTCGTTTTCACCATTTCCAAATTGAACTAGAAGTTTTTCCCATATCCGCGTGGCGCTTTATTAATGCGTAGATATGCAACGGCCGGGGCAGCCAGAGCCCTTTCCTTGGAATTCAAAGCAACCTCGGCACGCAACCAGTAACGCATGACCGCTATTCGGAACGTTGCGTTAATTTCGATTTCCCATTATATAAACGCGAAGAATAATTTTCGCTCGTTTCCATCGTTTCAAAATTGAGCGAGAAATGTTTCCCGTATCCGTGTGGGCGCACGGATACGCGACGGCCGGGGGGGAACAAAGGCCCTTTCCTTGGAATTCCAGATAATCTCGACACGCCCGGCGACCCTATTGTCTATTAGCATAAGCGAACATACGAGTGTACGGCGGTAATCGTGCCGGGTATGGCCTGGAATGCCCATTAAACGACGTCGGCAATTAGCCGGCTAAACTTATCGCTCTCCTTCCAAGCAGACGCGTGTGTGGGCCGGGGCATCGATTTCGCAGCGATTCCTAAATACTGATTAGGATCGAACAGTTGTTATTATGGCGAGCCACGATTCCTCGGACTGAGATAATTACGCGTGTAATTATATAAGGTGCTTTAAGATTTGCGTGTATGGAAAATTGCTTCATCGTGAGGAAATTTACCTTCAAATTGACGAAAGAGTGAAAAGAAAGAGAAAGCCTGTTACATCTCGTCAAATTAAAGAAATACATATTGAAACAGTAGACGAGAGAATAGCAGCGTACAGGTGGATGAGTGTCAAGAGTTTAATAAAATAAATCAACAGTTTTCATTAATGCCAAAACATTAATTATGGTCCTAATTAAGGTAGTTGTTTCGCGACAGTAACGCACAAAAGTTTCTTCCAGACAGGAGCCAGCACTCAATTATTACAATGCTATATCTCGATGCAATATTATTTTAAAGAATATTGCATCGGGATATAGCATTGTAATAATTGAGTGCTGGTTATTAATGTCTTTTTAACGGATCGCGAATTATAAACGATATAGCGAGTAAGAGACCGTCGACGTTGTAAAAATGAAATTGATAGCCCAAGGGACGTGTCGGTACGGATGTCGTGTGAAATGTCGCAAGCCTTGAATCGAAATCGACGTATTCGGAATAGGCGCTCGGGAGTTAAACGATCGGATCAATCACTCCTCGGATTTGTTTGCGAGCGCAAAACGACGACGAGGTACGCCGCCGGCCAGCCTGCGAGGCCGCAGGCGGATGTTGACAGGTATGCCTGTTGCATACATCGATTCTCAACAAGCGATACGATTATTTATGGCTGCACCAAGATATATCTCTTCAAATCACGCCCTTTCTTCTAGCGTTCATAAATTATAACGCCCGGTCGATGTTCCAGCGTTTAACAGGTTACATCCTCCGCAATACTTTATCCAAGTCAACAATCGGGCTCTTACGTAATATTACAATTAAACGTGATCTTCCACGATTACACGCGATAATGTTACCATATAAAAATTCGGTTGTCACGTGCGATACAACCGCGTATTCAGCAAATACGTTTCAAGTACGAACGTGGAATTTTCTTAAAGACAAGGTATATTCCGCAAATCAGTTTTTCCCATTTTGCAAAGGTCTATCATCGGCGGAAAAGGTATTTAAACACGGCTGGAATAGCAGTATTGGGAGCATACTGTTGCAATAAAATAAGAAATCAGGTAGCAGCGGAATGCCTTGTATTTCTTACAAGCTAAAGTCTTAGATAATGTGTCGATACGTGAATCTTGCGGTTCGGCCTGAAAGCCGATTGTGCAAGGTGCAAAGTCATTTGCACGACGTATCACGAAACTCGAATGCATTGTATAACAAATTACTGCCCGCATAAAATTAAGGGAATGCGTTTTCCAACTGCGCAATATTGTGGCAACATCAGTTTTATAATTGTATTAAATTCTATCAACGTCAACCTGCCTTTGATTGACAGAATCAGTAATCGTAACCGTCGTAACCGTCATTCGCGCCGTCGTCGTGAGACAGGGAGCCCGACGAGTCGCCGTAATAGCCGTCGTGGCCGTAAACCGGTGGCTTGTAAATCTGCGAATGATCGTACGCGACAGGTGTCGCGGAAGCTATGTGATTGTACGCCGCCAGATGCGCGGCTTTCGCTCGGGCCACTTCCGGTGTGTCTACCACGCGACCCTGAAAACAAAGGGGACAGTCAAGAAACGAAGGCGCGATTAGCTACTGCAGTTTCCACTATTTGAAAATGGCGTAAAATTTCTAGATCTAATAATCATTATTATTACAGTTCATACCTTCAAGAGCTTGAAGGAACTGAACGCGAATTATAAGTTTGAAAACGCTTATCGCGTCGCACGCCTCAATTGTTCATTCGAATGGGATAAAAGTCTTACGTCATGATCTAACGGGGCAGGCGGCCCGTGATATCCGTATCCGCTGTGGTACATTTGATGGCCGACCGATACGGGCTTAGCATATCCGTGATAGTCCCCATTTTCCGCGTAGGAAGCCGCGCCGTGCGGTACCCTCGCGGCAGCTTCCGCCACGGCGGCGAGATGCGCCGCTTTGGCGTGTGCCACTTCCGGCGTGTCCAGGACTCTCCCGTCGTGGCCTATGGGCGCCGGTGACCCGTGGTATTTTTGATAATACGCCGGCGTGGCCAGAGTCGTGGCAACGGTGGCGATTAAAAGGACCTACGAGTGTAAAAATGATCGGCAGCCGCTCTTAAAGCTATTATTAATATCCCGGCGAAGCTGACGTCCATGCATTAAGAGAGAAACTCCGTCGTCTTGCGATTCTCACTGCAGATTTCATCGCAATTCCGACAGTTCTGTCTCGCGGCGGATGATAATTTATGGGATACTTATTCAATAATCCCTCGGTTAACTTTGTTAAAAATAATCATAATCTAACAAAGTTACTTACCAAGGACCTCATTATTGCGTTCAATTCTGAAGTGTCACCGTTTTATAACCATCGGGAGCAAAATGCTCGGTTTATATACAATCGGTGATTTAATCTTACCTAACAGCGTCACCCCACCAGTGGTGAACACTGGTTCGGCTAATATTCGTACAACTGATCGTTCGATTTTTATGAAAGTGTCCAGGTGCATATTTCTCGTTGTTTTCGCATCAGCGACGCGAGACAATATTACGCGCGAAAACAAATGATGTTGTCAGCGGTCTAATTGAAGATAAATTTTATTCGATAACAGCACTAATGCTAAACTTTTGTTTCAATTGGACTGTCGCCAGCTAACAGCGTTAGTCTTTCTCGCGTGCGGGGACGCAACTAATTTGATCACGATTGTCTCGATCAACATCCATTCGTTTAAGCGTTGATTAAATCATTAATCGTTCATTAGACCTCGCAACAAAGGATCAGATATGTCCAATTATATTGGACGTAATTGCAATCGGTCTCTTTTCTCTTATTGTTCCCAAAGTCGCGACGGCTCATTAAGCAATTAGACGCAGTGCATTTACGTGGCGGAATTTCCAGCAGCCTTTAACAAGATGACAAACTGCGAATCATGCTACGGTGATTAGTGCGCGCGAATTTGCATTTTATCATACGATATTCATTAATCCTGGTCGTCAAAAGGGCGTCAGTGTGTATCGGGATTAATTTTAAACTTATTACAGGTATCGTTTCTTCCTCAAGCGATCGACCACGTTTAATCTTTACGGCGAATTCGACAATAAAACACGACGTTGAATAACTGCCTGCGATTAAATGCTTGTTTTAATTTTTTATTTACGTCGAAGCGCCCAAGCTCTTTCCTCGGAGCGTTCGCTCGGCAATCGGGATCGACGAGATGCAGGATCGATCGAACGTTCCCATCGCCGCTGACACTTTTTCCAAGCCAATTGTACAACATCGCCTCTAGAACGTTCGCGTTTTGGCGCAATCATAATTCCGTTCTTGCTAGCATTCCAGCCTCCCTCTATCCCTCCCCTTTTCACTTTTTCTCGCTCTTTCTCCTCGCCTCTCTCCCTCCAGCCTACCATTATCTCTCTTTTTATTTCTAGCTCTTTCTCAATTCTTTCTCTTCCTACCGTGAATTTTTCAATATCTTTTAATCGCGCAAATGTGTCACCCCGATGTGTCTCCATTTCGCCTCTCGGGCGAAATGAATTGGACAGAAAAACCGAGCCTATTTCGCCGTTTTATTATCTAAAAATCAAGGCGATTCCATGTTGTAAAACGTTCCGCGTTTACGCTATTTAGTACGGACGCCTGTATTAGACGCCCGTATCGTTCGTCGGCTATATAAGGTCTACGTGGGCTGATCGCACGGACAGAGATTCGCCTGATCTCGGATAGACGCGCGCAAGTATGAAGTCCCTTGTAAGTACCTGGATACTCCTTATTTTTCTCATTCTTTCACGATTCCTTATTCGTTCTCTATTTACAAAAATATATTATTATTAAACGCTTCATTGCATTAATTGTTATATTTAAAATATTAACACTTTTTCCATAATGACACCTATTATTGTTCGAAAAAGTGACCAAAAATTACTTAACAACAATTTAAATCGAGGAAACGTATTATAAGGTGAACAGTGAACTTTCTCACACACAATGAAAGGACCGCTTTCGCGTCTGAATATATAATTTTCGTCTATCACTCTTGTAAATCTTGTTGCAGCGCGCACAAAGAGATTTTCGATAGCTATAATCATCGTTCATCTCCGCACGTTCACCCTTCCAGGACTAAATCTCTCGTCTGTTCGCCTTTTCAGGTCGTCCTCTCGTGCCTCTCGCTGTCGACGCTGGCCCTGCCTGCGTACGGGCCCCATCAGCAGGTGTATCAGGTGGCGCACGGATATTATCACGGGCCACCAGCCCCGCTGGGCCACGACGGCCAAGTGGTCGACACGCCGGAAGTGGCCCACGCCAAGAAGGCGCATTTGTCGGCGCACGCCGAGGAGGCCGCCAAAACGGCGCACTACGGCGGCGGATTTCCCGCGGACGGAAGTTACGGCGGCGAATACTCGGACGGGGGTTTCAAAGGCCACGCCGGGGGCTACGCCGAGGGTTACGCCGGATACCACGGCGTGTACCACGGCCCGTCGGCACCGCTCGGTCACGATGGACAAGTGGTGGACACGCCGGAAGTGAAACATGCCAAGGCCGCGCATCTCGCCGCTCATCACGCGGAGTTGGCCAAAGTCGCTCATCTGTCGTACGCGAAACCCTACGCGTACGGCCCATGGTGAACAAGCTTGTTGAGGAATACATCCAACTCTCCTTTTACGCGGTAGATACGTTCCGCGTAAGAAATTGCGTTTTTCTAACGTGTAAAATACCATGCGCGCGCTGTTTTTTTTTTACCGAAAGCTGTTTACACGACTGAGTTTGACGGGAACAAGGGTGAACGAACGACGTATGAATGATCGTCGGATCATGACTGACAGTGACAACCGAGCTGCCGAAATATCACTTGAGCTATAAGGGTTATTGAAAAATGTAGTCTGTCTAGGGTATTACTCATCTTTTGTGATACTTTTTTTTTAACGATACTTACGTAATAATGTAGGGGGACGTGCGTGCGGTTGAAAAGTTTTCGTCGAGTCATCGCCAGGAATTAAAACTAAGACTTGTACGCGTACACGAGAGGTTACAGAGAATTTTCGGAAAATCGCGCAGGAGGAAACCGCGTTAAAAGAGAGCTGGGTGTATGCCTTTCACGGCAGGACCATTAACTCATTGTCTGCGTTAACAGCGTAAAATAAGCGGCGTCTTCAACGGATCATGCCAACTCATCTTACATTCGCGTTGGCGGATGTGCATCTCGACAAACATAAATATATTATATACGCACTGTATGATGTAACGATACGAAAATAACAAATAAAGTTTAACGTGTGAACAAATAGTCGCAAATTTCCCTCTCGCGTATCTCGCAAGATTTATTGTTATTCCAAAATAATTAATTTCGCGACGATAATTAGAAAACTACGGAAATTAAGTATGCTCCCCCCCTCTCTCTCTCTCTCTCTCTCTCTTTGTCTCTGTCTTTTGAATAATTTATGCAGCGAGTGCAAATGTTTTATTTCACGCGGCTGTAGTGCAAAGAATTGTCGCGGTTCTGCGGTGAAAGACTGGCGACGTGCCGAGCTCAATCACGGCTCAGGAGCACGAGTTCGGATGTCGATCGTGCGAATCGATCACTCACGATCGACTGCCACTCCGTCAAGCTCGACTAAACGCCTAAACACGTCGGTATTGCGTTGGTGACAAACGCGCAATTCCTTTCAGGCCAGACGTAGCAATAGGGCTCGATCGATGAACTGGCCGAGCGGCCAGTTGCGACACCACTATCTCCGTTTTAGTAATTCAACAACTATTGTTATCGCCATCCCGTGACATACTATTGTGATTGATACGCCACGTGTGGATAAATAATCCCATAAACTGCGGGGTAGAGTGGGTGTAGCTCGTTGCGCGATCGTGGCCTAAAGATAAGAGCACGTGAGATACAATCATAAATCGGCCGCGCGGACAGTTACATTTTTTTCTTTCCGATAAAGTGCTAATGAAAATTCACTGACAACCTCCCCCCCCCCACCCCATAATATCATCGATCGATATATATTTGTACAAGTAAAATGGAATTCATTTCTCACGCTTTTGATTCTCAAAGGAAACACTTTTAGACGAAAGCTGATTTGCCTCTAGACAAATTTAGGTAGCATGGTGTACATATTTAATCGAGACCAACCCAACTATGTACGAAATGGCAATTGAGCCGTGAGAGTCTCTCGAGCGTTGTTGGCAAAGTGATTTTGCAACTTGCCGATTTAATTCCTGGCGCCGCGTTCGAGGAAGCAACGCGCGATCAAGCCTGGCGCGGCATCGGCGTCACTTTGGCGAAAGCCGGAGACTTAAATGACCGCATCTGCGGGATGACGCGCATAGCTGCACAGGGCACAGTACCCAGGCGCATTTTTACTCGCGACACGAGGTCACGGGGGGGACACGCGCATACGAGTGCCATTGTTAACGCGCGGTGAAATGTTACAGGGCACGGCGTGCAGTTAAGGAGAACGCTTTTCCTGGGTGTGGTTGTCACCCCGCGCGCGAGTTGCGCCCGGCCAGGCGGGGCACGGGCAAGCAGCGCGCCCGATCGACGCTCGTACCCCTATAAATTGCACCACGCACGTTGATGGCAGCTGTAATGCGGATCTAAACGCACGTGCCGACAGCCGCCAGTGTCTTGCCGAGATCTGAGGGCGACGGGATACCTTTGGGACACGCAGGGTGATCGCCGCAATGATCGGATACATCGTGAGTACGCTCGCAAACTCGGAGAGAAGTAACGTGTCTCCCGACCCCAATCTCACGCGTCTGTCATCTTGACGAATAAAATTAATATTAATTAAAATTTATATACTCTCGCAGTATTATTATTATATTATTCGCTTTACACGTGTTTTTGTAAAATTAATAGTATTCGACCTTCTAAACCTTATTCTAAACCTTACTAGTGGCAAAAATTGGCCAATCGTTTGTCGTTGATCCCGTAAGCCGTTACTAATAGCGAATTCGATTGCTTGCAGTAGTGCGCACTGAGTGCACACTAAGGCCAGTTTACAGTCAATTTTTATATTTGACTTTGTCTTAAATATGTGTTCAAAGAGGATTTAGCCAAAACGTAATCCGTACGGATGCTTTACAGATTATTTTACTGGCTACAAAATATTTCAAGAAATATTTAAGACGATTTCTAAATCTAAGAATTGACTGTAAACAAGCTTTAGTGCGCACTCAGTGCGCACTAGTGCAGGCAACCGCGAATTCGCTATGCTTCTTATCTGAAACGGATATTAATAAGAAATAATAACGCAAAGCCAATGGGATGATTTCATTGTTATCGCAGATCCTCTTCTTCGCGATGTCGAGCGCTATTCTGGCGGCTCCACAGTGGTACGGGCCCCATGGCTCCCCGGCACCGTTGGGCCCCGACGGTCGCGTGGTAGACACACCGGAAGTCGCGCAATTGAAGGCTGCTCATCTGAGCGCTCTGGCAGAAGCTAACGCACGCGCACCGAAGGGACCGGGGTCGATCGGCGCTTACGCCGGGCCCGGCGGATACGCTGCCAGAAACTACATTGCGCATTACAGGTTTGTCTCGAACATCCCTCGGCAATGCACTTCTATCCAAATCGGGCTTCTCCGAAGCTCCTTATATTGATATTCCAAGCGCAACTAGACGGTAATCAATTTAGAAAGGATTATATTATACTTTCCGAGTTTCTACTTTGTTCATTCTATTTTGTATTCGTCTTATTTAATGAGCGCCGATGAGGCCAAGCTCAGCTCTCGAAAGTCGTCTGAATACATCGTATTACAGCGGACCACCGGCCCCGCTGGGCCCGGACGGCCGCGTGGTCGACACGCCCGAGGTTCAGCAAGCCAAGGCCGTACATTTCTCTCTCTACAATGCGGAAGCGCGGCGCGTGCCGGTCGGTCCAGCCGATCCAGTTGCCGTTGGCGCCTACGATCCATCCTGGAACAATGGCGTCTACAATCCCGCTTGGGACGGCCCGGCCAGCAGCTACTATTAATTCGACTCCGAGGAAATCGGATCAGGACCATCCCGGACCGATCGCGCGATCGGTCGCGCCGGACTCGTGATCCTCGACGTGATCCTCCCCACCTACCTCAAGAATTGGAAGACTAAGATAGATGTTACTAACTACCTCTCCCCCGAGATCAGATCGAACAAACGATTCCCCCTCGCCGACCCTCCAGTCACATCTCCCAATGGTTCTACCCGCGTCTACATATTCAGCACCGCGCTTCGTGCATCTCCTATTTGTCGCGCGCGCGAGTATGGCACTTGTACTTTCGGTGTATGTGATGGAAAAAATATATATGCATGCAATAGAATAGCAGTAGCGTAAAGAGATTATAACTATCTCGTGCTTCTTTACGCACAATCCGCCCAACACCCTTCGATCCACTCGCTTTGAATGCTTGAAAGAGCTAATTCCCTATAAATCTGGAGATTCAAGCATCTCTCCCTGAGAATCTACTTATGTATAAACGTCGGCGTTCTGGTTGTATTAATTCCGGCACTTGTTCCTTGAATGAAAAGATTCCGTTACATTCACGTCTATTGGTGTTTACGGCATTCACTTGGATATTATCGTATATTCTACCGTTACTCACAATCAGATCTGCCTTCGCGAGCGTACGCGACACAAGAGATCGCAATCTGCTGAACCCGGTTGTTGCATACCTCGTTAAGCACGATTAATCGCGTCCTTGCTAATGGCACAAGCCGTCTAGGATCGCGCAGGATAACTGTCTCACACCATCTCGCAGTCATAGAAACCGGTTTCCTCATCGCCACTCTTCGCAATCGAATTTTCATTTCCTGCCGTTAATTGACATTAAGTAATTACGGATCTATTAGTTAATCTCTGCTGGGACGCTCGTTGCATTGATACGCTCCGCAACGTTTTCTATGCAACCATCCGCAATGCGTCAACGCAACGTGCATTCGAATGAAGTTTTCTTGCAAGACACGTCCGTATTCGCGGACGACCGGTCATGGATCACGGATTTCTTCCCTTCAAGGTGGTCCTCTTCTCGTTAGCTGTCGCCGTGCCTTTGAAAATTGCAGGCAACCCATTGTTCGAAGAACGGTGGAACTCGAGCTTTAGATTTCTATCGAGAAATAGCTTCATTAACAAATTTACTTGTCAAGTTTTCTTTAAATCTACCGATTTAAATCACGGATTTCTTCCCTTCAAGGTGGTCCTCTTCTCGTTAGCTGTCCCCGTGCCTTCGAAAATTGCAGGCAACCATTGTTCGAAGAACTGTGAAACTCGAGCTTTAGATTTCTATCGAGAAATAGCTTCATTAACAAATTTTTTGTAAATCTGTCGATTTAAATCACGGATTTCTTCCTTCAAGGTGGTCCTCTTCTCGTTAGCTGTCGCCGTGCCTTCGAAAATTACAGGCAACCGATTGTTCGAAGAACGGTGGACCTCGAGCTGTAGATTTCAATCGAGAAATAGCTTCATTAAACTTGTCAAGTTTTCGTTAAATCTATCGATTTCAATCACGTATTATAAATATCTCTACGCTATCTTTTTCGCAATTTCTTTCGGCGATAAGGCGATATCGGATAGATTAATCTCGTTTAGGATCAGCAAGGCAGCGCGAGGAAAAACTTCTTAGATCTTATTGACAAAGATCCACCAGATTTCTTTAAATTTGATTGTTTAAATCGTCGCACTCGACACATTATGAATGTTTCCGCGCCATTGTTTAGCAATTCCTTTCGGCGATAAAGCGATATCGGATACATTCGTTCCATTTGAGGTCAACGGAGCAGAGTGAGGGAGAGAAGATTATTTGATCTTGTCCCCATTATAATCCACGCCGATCCGACGGTAACGTGAGACGGAAGAACTCGGCCGACTCGTTCGCCAATTGTTGCGCAAATCTACGCAAAACGGGGGGGGGGGGAGGGAACGGGGGCTCTCGTAATACGTAATCCCCGGCGCACGTAACGAGTTAGGCGAGTTGCACGGTCCCGTACGTGTGGCTGCGATATTCCACGCACAGCATCCACCGATCTCTTTGCGCGCGGAATTTTCAGCTCTTCTCGGGTAGGCGTATCGTCCGGTCTTGTATCTTTTATGTCGAGGTCACTTCGAATTGCGCAGGAGTGGGTGGCGCGTAAAATCAGTTTTTTTCCTCCCCGCCCCCTCGAAGAAACCGCCTCGGTGACAGATTCGTCAACTCGCTCCGATGACGTCGCCGCCGGCCGCCACCGCGTTACTCCAGCCCGGCGAGTATCACCGTCCCGATTCTCCGACGCTCCGGCTCGTTTACGCCGATTCATTTCTTCTTGCATATTCCCGGCGTCGGCCACGAGTTACGATTCCTGACCTTTTCGCGGCGAGGTATTCCGAATCACGATGTGCTCGGGTTCGCTCTCGAGGAACGAAGCTATTATTCCGCTCCCTCGCTCGTTTCTTCTCACGTCTTTCGTACACCGGTGACCTATGTGGCAACATCCACAACCGTAACGCGAGATGACTACGTTTCAATAGGATTTACATGATATTTCTCAGTTCCCAGAATTAAATCGCCATTAGGGTAACAATGTCGTAAACGCGTTACGCGGGTGTACTCCCTGAAGAAACGCTCGATGCGTATAAAAAATTAATAGCAATTGCATATCTCCCAGCAAATTGATATCTGCGTGCGCGCCGCGCGGATTAGCTCCACGGTACGTTGCGCCTCTTTTTATTCGGCAAGTGTCGCGATCTTGCTTACGTAAAATTGCGTGCCCGCGCGTTCGCCGCAATTGTACAAGACGACCGTTACGATATCGCACCCGCGGCGGGTGCACCGCAAAACGCAAAACTTTCCTAATCGGCGTCCCACGACGATCCGATCGCTCTCTTCTTGCTCTTCCGATTTCTATCTGGATTAAGACACAAGAGTTGCGTCACGGCACCGCCGCGATTTCTTCTACGAGAGATCTCGCGTTCCGCGTCTTTCCCTTTGCACGCTTGTCAAAACGACAAGAAGTATTAGTTAATTGTTTATCTTAATCTAAATTTAACGCTACGGGCGCACGGGGTACAGCGAGTACGGAAAAAGGAGCCGGCGCGGCCAGCTTCTAATCCGTAGAAATTAGTTAATTAAACATTTTCACGCATCTTAACAGTCGCGAATTGCTGTTCGTACGGTTTAATCGAGAAGTAGGCCAGCACGTGAATACAACTTTATTAAAGCTTAATTACCTATTTGACAACGAGTTAGAAGTATTAGTCAACGTATTCTTTTGTAATCGCGTAGATTACTAACTATTTTACACATAATGCACTGGTATCGTCATAATCAACTTGTACCTCCCACTTTTAACGTAACGATTGATACAGACACAGAATTTAATATAATTTAAATAAATAGTGATCACACAATCATGTTGAAATAGAAAGAGAAAAGGAGACACAGAGAGAGAGATGGGGATTGGGACGGAGAACAATGTTCGTCCTTCCATTGTGAATGGAATTTTTTTCCGGCAGTCTCTATACATCGCAATTTTCGTAACAGAGAAGAGATGTACAAGCGATTGATCTGCGAAAAGCATGATAAATTCGTAGGAAAGGAAAACAATTTATTCATCTAGAGTATGTACAGGCACCGGAACATGTCGATCGACCGCGATCCGCTAGATTCAGTAGGTTCCTATCAGATGCGGGGACTGATAATGGTGTGGCTGGTAACCTGATGACGGATTGTACACTTGCTGCGTGGCGTAGGGCTGAGCACCCGGGAATGCCCGCGGTGCGCTGTAGTGCCCCACGTTGGAATTGTAGTTGACGGGGGCGGGCTCGGCTCCGGGAAAGGCTGAAACAATATAACACACCATGTTAGAAAATATTTCGAGGCCTAAACTGGACGCGCATGTACACGCGGAATAAAATATTGCGCGGAATCAAATTCAGTGAAGAATGAAAACTATCCCTCGATATCTAGTAATTAACATTTATATCGTTTCCCTTAATTTGCCGCTCGGAGAAACGAAAGTTAGACTTCTATGCTCAAGCGATGCTGCAAAACTTTTCGGTCTTCGAATCCTTTGTCCACTTCCCCTGCAATTTTCCCGTCAATCTATCAAAGTTTTACATCATATACTTGGCGGTACGTTGCCGCGGGTAACATCGAGAACACGTTTCCGATCCACGCCCTACGTCAACGATTTACGTAGCCGCCCACGCGGCGGCGGGTCATCGGACTCTCCCAGTTCTGCTTCACTCACCTTGACCCTGCTCCTCGTTCGGATGCTCGCTCGCGTGTTTGTAAGCCCGAGCCTCGGCCTCGGCGAGCTCGGCTAGCCTGGCCGCCTTCAGGGCCGCCACTTCCGGCGTGTCCAGGACCGTCCCGTCATCGGCCAACGGTGCCGGCACGAAGGTAGTGGTCTTCGCCGGCAGCGCGTAGCTCTTCTGCCCCACGAAGTTAGCCCGTGCGTTGTACTGCTGGGGTTGCTGGTAATTCACCGGGGCGTAGACGGGCGCCGGCACGTGATTAGCCGTCTGGTAGATCGGAGTGGGCTGTTGGTAGCTGGCCTGTCTCAGATAAGGCACCGCGGTCGGCTGAGCCGCCGAGTAGCTGTACGTGGGCGACGAGATCTGATTGTAATCGGAGAAGTGTTGCTGATTCTTCTGGTCCTGGGCAGCGCGGGCGGCGGCCTTCGCGAATTCGGCGAAGTGCGCGGCCTTCGCCTGCGCCACTTCCGGCGTGTCGATCACGTTGCCGTCCTCGCCGACCGGAGCGGGTGGCGCGAAGCTCGGCGCGACCTGTTGATGGTGAACCAGGGGGTTCCCGTACGGGGGCGAACCGACGTACGCGGCTCTGCAGGCCACCGCCACGGCGAGCAGGCAAATCTAAAGGAGAAGAAACGAATCAGCGCGATTCGATCTCGATTCGAGCCGAGAAAAATGTTTACGAAGGAAATGTTACATCTTTCTATATTTTATATCATCGTTTCCAAAAGGTGTTATTTCGCGAGCGAGTCTCAATCGTCTTTCGGAGGGAATTCGGTAGAAACAGTGCAGTTTAGCCGTCACGAATTTACCGATACGTGATCGATAGCCAATCCGCCGCTTATCGGATCGTCTCGTTGCGCGATCTCGATCGGCATTTCTCGCTGGGCGATTTCTTTCGGCCTACCCCAACCTTTCACTTTCCTTTGTCCCGGGATCACTCACCAGGCCTCTCATGACGATCCAGGGGCGTGTATCCTTCGCTGAACTCCCACACACCTTCCTCCCGATAAAAAGAGCGCTGCTGCGTCCGTCAGTACTCGCTCCCAGGAGTGAGGGACCCGGGTCGGGCGTCGGTTCGGTGTTTTGTGTTCCTGGAGAACGGCCGGTTGGTACCATTTATAGTCGCGTTCGTCTGTCCCCTCCCACGTGGATCCGATAGCCGGCGACCTGGAGGGAGCCAGAGGTGGTCGGCTAACCCGGTGGCCCGGGAAGTTCGCCGGAAAGATCGGAAAGCCCATTATCCTCCCTTTCTCCCTTTTTCCCTCGCTCTTTCTATGTCTCTCGCCAAGGGCGACCTTGACATTTGAACGCGATTTCTGCAGATCGCGATCGGAAGCCTGTCAAGAGGCTAATGACGCGCTCAATTGCATCTTGGGTAACAGCCACGAAACCGCCAGCGGTTCTTCGCGGAACGGATTTTTATTTGCCGAATCAAAGCTGAAAGATGTTTCGCCATTTACACCGAGATCGTCTCTCGTGATATTTCCTTCATTTCTTAGAATTTTCCGGCGACAATTTGCTAAGTATTTTTCATCGCCGAGTTACACACGCCAATCCGGCATTCTTTTATCGAGGTGCATTTTTCACTCCCGTATGATCTTGATTAAATCAGGATCGCTGATAGAAAGGACCCCGCTAAGAAGTAACAAAGGCGTGTTATACTGGCACTAAACGACTCAGCAGCCCTGAGCAAACGAAGGACTCCAAGTCGAAGGACGAGCCGCACTAAAAATGCATTCTCACAGTGCAAAGCCCACTACTCGCAATGCATTTGTCGTGTGTACAGATCTCCGTGATCCGTGCGGTAAATTTACGCGAAAGTCACTCTCTACTGCGATGAAAGATTAATCTTTTCATTATTTTTTTATTCGTCGGGTTTAATTCGACGTTACTGATTGTAAGATGCAAAATTTGTTGCACGAATCCTAAGGTGGGCTTTGTTGAACTCCAAACAATCTAAAAGCTTAAGTCGGAATAATATCAAAATTTTAATTAACAATTTCAATTATTTTTGGTTTTCGGGCTACAGTTTACAAAAGTGTCGAAAGCACTTGCACCATTGTCAAATATTACGGAGCAGTTCTGTAAATAATTCAACTTAGATGAACGCACTGAAGACAACTTTTGCATTTCTTTGCGAAGAAACGTACATATGGTGTATTTATCGGATATATGTTAAACGGATACGGTGTTCGCACACATGTCACGTGAACACCTTTGACATTAGGCGACGTGAACACCTCTGACAAGCCCATGCTGCAAAGTGCAAGCCGATAAATGCAGACAGGCAAGGTGACGCGTTACTGTCATCATACGCGACCGCGCCTTTCCTCGCCGTCGCTCTATCGCGGCCTATCGATCTTCATCGCTACGTTCGATCGGATCGACGGGTGGTCTATTGGCTACCCCCGTGCCACTCGCTCGCCGTGCGCGGCGTATCGATATGAAAGCGACGGCGAGCGATTGTTTATCGCGCTCAATGTCAATCTACACCTCCGCCCGCAGGATGCAAGAACGTTCCAAACTTGGGCGGGCTCGCGAGCGGGCCGATCCGAGCGGAAGAAGGAATTTCTCTCCTCTCAGATTGGGCAAATCTCTCCGGCACCGCGCGAATACGGTGAAACGCGAGTATCGCGAAACGTCACGGTAATCGCGTGTGTGTAATACGAGAAAGCGGGCGGCGGTTCTTGGCTCTTTTTCCCGACAACGCGCTCGCGACAGAATCCGCCGGCGGATTGCAAACCCACGCTTGGCCCGCTCCGCCGGCGTTACGTTAGATCGTTCGATGTCTAAAACCTCGGAGGTTGACCTAAAAAATCAACTGTGCGAGAAACGACCGAAAAAATCGTACGCAACAACTCTTGTTGTCGCCGTCGTCTCGGATTGTGCCATTGTTATCGACAAGATTACGTATTCTTGACAACATATCGGATTACAAGGGGCAACCACTGTACTCTTTGCAGTCCAAACCATTTCCCCCAAACGAGCGAGAATCAAGTGTTTCATCCTTCAAATTTCATGCAGTCTGAATCGAAGATTTTTTATCGTGAGCAACAGGGAGCTCTTTACCCGGGGAAAAATGAAGATATCTCATTAGATACACGGAGAGAATTTTTTCCGAAAAATTTATCCTGAATGTCACGTGCGATAACGTGGCATTTTGAAGATTTTTATGAGAGTTTTTGAAAGTTTACATCCGAGAAAATTTATCCGATGAAATGCAGTTACCGATAAAATTTGATTGAAAAACTGATGATATTTTTCATCGGATATATCCACTTGTTATTATGTAATCGGACATTTTTTCAGTGTACAACTGGCCAATAATAATTGCAGATCAATTTTAAGTGGTTCAAGAATGATGCTACCGCATTTTGTAGCCTGTCGAGTCCAGTTCGACAGGGCCGCAAAGAGTTAAGAAATATGGGCTTTAAAGACAAGATTATAGATGGCGAGCAAATTGACGATGACTTTCATGGTCAACGGCTTCATTTGTTAAATCGAATATAAGACACGTTCCAAAACGATTGAATTATTACGATGCCTTACTGCGGCACGCGGCTGGAGAACTTTTTTCGGGACCACGGTGTCTTTAATGGCGTTACTTTATCACCAGCCTCGCGTAAATTTCATACGAATGAACGCGAGACCATCGCGAACTCCGTGTCGGTTGTATCGGAAGAATCCATAAACTTGTCGCAATAAATATTTCAATGTCTGATTATACATTCTTCGCATTTTAAATCGAGTCCTTATCACAGCCTCATCACATAATTTGACCAAGGAATAAATATAGCTCGTTTTATTTGAGACATTCGTAGCAGTGTATCTCTGGTACTTGTACAACATTTAAAAATAGTTCTGCAATCACATCTTCGGTCGAAGAATGAAAATTACACGAGAGTACATTCAATTGCCGTTACAAGAGTCGAAACAATACCTTTTCATTACCAAAGCGTCAAATGTACCGCAATTGAAACATTCGTAATGGAATATGTATTTATTAATCTCTTGTCGATCTCTTTACATAAGGCACACTTGTTACAACGCACTTTCGTTGCACCTCGCTAACTACGTTGAATCCTTACAGAGCAACATAGATTTCTATAACGCAACTTTCAATTCCCATTTGAAACTTAAAAAACGATGAATTCGCTCGCGGCAATACACTAACTCCGTAACTGTATAAAAGAGAAATTTAAGCATTATGGCAATGTTACAATTTGCAGCTATTTTAAAACATCTACAAATTCCCGATCGTCAATAAAGAGATTATCGAAATAAACCAGTCGGATTGCGGCGCATAGGCGGGGTCCAGATTTATTTACACTTTAACACGGACGACTTGGACGCGTTAACGAAAGTAGTAATGAACGAGCGGCGCGCTGCGGTCCAGGACGACGACCGGCTGCTCGTGGTAAACCGATCTCGCGGCTTCGTGGCTGAGCTTCTCGTTGATGTGCGCCGCCGCATGTTCCGCCTTAGCGAGGGCCACTTCCGGCGTGTCGACGACGCGTCCGTCGAGCCCGATCGGTGCACCGGGGACCAATTTCGTCGTCACCGCGACCGGTTCCACTAGCTGCGCTGCGCTACCAATCACGGCCGCGCTGGACGGCGCAACGTAAGCGAGCACGTGCTGGTCGGCCGACCTGACGGCTTCAGCGGCCAAGTTAATCTTCTCGTTGACGTGAGCGGCCGCATGCTCGGCCTTGGCCAACGCGACTTCCGCGGTGTCCACCACGCGACCGTCCAAACCGATCGGGGCACCGGGCACCAATTTGGCATAGACCAGCGACGTACTAGCGTAGGCGCAAGCCAGGATGGCAGGGAGAACGATCTGAAGAGAACACGCCATCGCGTTGCGATGTTTTCTAAATTTACTTGCATTTTGTGAAATTCAGAAATTAATCTGGTTAATCCCAGCTTACGCGTCTCTTCCTAATGGAAGACGATTATATTTTGACAGCACCGACGTGATAAACAAATATCTTTAAAAAGTTAAAAACTTATCATTTATACAGGGTGTTCCGTAAGTCGAGGTAAATCGCTCGGGAGATGAATGGGGAACCAGAAAGAAAGTTGATATAAACATAGGTCTGAAAATGCGTTGCTTTCGAGTTACCGCCATTTTTATCTCGCAATTTGAGACCAATGCAATTTGTCCCTATCGTCTCCTTCCCTTTTACCGCGGGTAACAATATAAGATAATCAAGAATTGCAGTAGCGCGCCGTCAGTGCGATATATGCTACAGATTCTTTTCACTGATACTCACCAGGACCTTCATGTTGAACGAAATTACTTGGCTCCTCAGCGCTGCCGATCAGGATCAGTACTCGCCAAGGTGCTGGGATAATGTGTCGTGCACCACCCCGTCCACGAGGCTTTATATACCCCCGTGGGTAAAAGAGTCTTTGTGCCGAACCAAGCGCCGCTACCAGGATGTATCCCATCGCAATGTAAACAGCAGCGCCGAATAAAAGTCGACACGTATCTGACATTGACGCCTGTCAACTCGCTCCCGTTCGCACAATTGCGAGTCGCATTCACCGCTGTTGTCGCGATGCCTATCTAAATTAGTTCCCCTTCCGACTCGATTAATCAGACTTGTATAAAAACCGAGTGATCGAGCGATCCGTCGCGCTCGCCTTTTTTTGGACGTCGCCAATTTGTCGTAGGTGGTTTTCTCATTCGTTTTGGGTTTAACCGCTAGCTGTTGACGTGGATATTTAACCCTTTGTTTCTTCGTAAATACAAGCCTTGTAATAAAAGTTTTTTTTTCGAAGAAGAGAAAATTCCCTGTTTTGTTAATCAATTATGTAATTATTATCACGGTTATACGTTCTAACTGCACGTAACTTATGTAATTAATTAAATGTAAATTAAATGTAAATGAATTTTGCCGCGTAACAGAAACTCTTCTAGCTTCTTAAAAGTGTTGTAAAAATTGTAAAAAATACAACTGGAATGGATGTAGATCGCTGGATCGATTCTCGCCGGATTAATCAAGGATGAAGTAACACGACAGGTATGCAAGTAGGCAGGCATCCTTACCTAATCGGGAAAGGACAATAAGCCCGCGCTCCGTAGAACCTGATTACGCGATCGACGCAGCCTTCGGCGCGTCGCAGGCGCAACCTTCTAGATCACGGCCGACCTGGCGGAGAAATGGAAACGGGATCGGGTGTCTTCCCGACCTCGCGGGAAAGAAACGGAAAGAAAATCCCTCTCCGTTTCATCTCGCCGTCCCCCCGCCGTCCCCCGCTGCATCGTTCTTCTCTTACCCGTCGCAAACTCTCGCTTTACATACAGGCTTATCTTACCCGCGCGAAATGGAAACGGCTAGACCACACGCAGCTTTACGAATCGAGATCTCTCCCTTCGCGCCCTCCCACGCCGTCATTCTATTGCGTGATCTGGAAGGACTATAAAGGCGATCGCGACAACTGGACCGGTGCGCGTTATCGAGTGAATCCCGCGGCAACACGCTACTCATCGTTTACGATCGCGTGGGACCACTGTCTCTTTCGGCTCAACCGAATAAACGCGAGAGATGACGCGTTTCACGATCGTGCTACTCGGTCTGACGAGCCTGGCCTCGGCCAGGCCCACTTTTCTGCCCGTACCATCGACGTACGCGACACCCCTGATACCCGGCGCGCAGATCGGCACCAACGAAGCGTTGGACGGCCCCGAAGTCGACGAAAGAACGGGGGTGGCGAACGGAGCCGCGAGGTCGCCCGTTGGATCCCGGTTGCTGCGAGGAAGACAACCGTCCACGGCTTCCGCGCCTCTCGGCGCCGACGGCAGGGTCGTGGAGACGCCGGAAGTCGCGGCTGCCAGGGCGGCTCACGCGGCCGCGCACGTCAACGAGAGAATCAACCTGGCGAACGAGGTCGCGAGGTCCAACGATGCGTTAGACTTGGCCGAAGTCGCCGACAGCGATCCCGACGGTAAAGCCCTGGACCCATTCGCGCGCGTCAACGGGAAGCTCGACCTGGTGAACGAGGCTGCGAGATCCGGCGACGTCCTCGGGCACCGCATCGCGAGCGGTCGCGTGCTGCCGTTGGTGCTCGGCAACGGGGTCGTCGCTGCCCTGGTGCCCGTCGACCCCGACGGCAGACCCTTGAACGTGCCGGAAGTGCTGGTCGCGCGCGGCTACCAGAATCTGGCGAACGACGTGAGATCCGTCGACGCTCTGGCAGTCGCTGGTCCCGCGCTCGCTTACGGCAGATTGATTTACTAAAGAAGATTTTGCCGATGCGCTCGAAGAAAATACAGCTTTGTACGCGTAACTTTGCGTAAAATAATTGTTAAGTTTCAGACCGTAGTCCAAACAATGGTAGATCCAGGGACCAACACCTCTCCGACGACGAGTGGAAAACTCAATAGGATACAAATAGAATAATCATGTATTTCTTGCTTGCGCAATTATTATTTTTAGTCAAAATGTATTCCGTGTACTACGTAAAAGTAAACGTCTAATGTATACACACGTAAAGCCGACATATCGCGAAGGAATAAAATTGTTACCTCACATAAATGTGCGATACTTGGTTCAATCCGCCCGTACTTTACGCCACTCGTCTCGCTAAAATGCAAATGCGAGACGGCGACAAGATTTTCCATATTTCATCGGTCTCCGTATGATCCCGCGTGGCAGAAGATCCTCGCGAAGCCAACCTCCGCACCCCTGGACGACCGATCGGCGTCAGCGGGGAACGACCCTCGCCGTCGAGAGGCGCTTCGCGGATACCACGACCCGAGGTAATCGGGCGATAAATTAGCGATAATCCGCGGCATCCACCTCTTCGAGATCCCGGCTCGGCAACCCCCGGCGATAACGATCGCGCGGTGTTCGGTGCGCGACCCTGACGGTCGACGTATTAGGGCATAGTCGGGCGGGTAAACCGGCCCGGGAAAAATCCGACACTCTCGGCGAGCACCGCGAAGCCGGATTCCGAGGATCGCGACCTCGAAGGGACCACTTGGCGCGACCAGTTCTCGCGGCGGTGGTCCACAACGGCGACTTGGCGAATTTCTCGCGGCCCCGAGGGAAGAGGAAGAGGACGCAGGAGGGCAGCGTCACGACGCGTCGCAGGGCGTGGTTGCACGCGACCGCGTGCGTATATAAACGCGCCCTGGCGCGTCGTGTCGCGTCGAGGATATACCGGCGCCGTCGACACGATCGCCATGAAGAGCGCATCCGTAAGTGCTCGTTCTGCGACTCCTCGCGTGGGTGGATCGTCCCTGGGGTTGGCAGAGTTTAACCCGCGCGCGTCAGGGTTATCTGAAAGGTCGCTCGCTGCAGTTTCGGGAATTTATTCCCCCCTTGCGTAATGATTTCCCCATAGACATAGTAAATGTAGACTGAGCGTCCAGTTGAATAAGCTGAAGCTTGTGAAGAGAGAATGTGAGAGAGAGAGAGAGTAAAGATTTAACAAGACTTTCTTTCTCTGTCTTACACCATCGTAAAAGAAGAGAATCGCGCCTACGCAGTGCTACGCAGGCGTGATTCTCCCTTCTCGCGATGGTGAGACAGAGAAAGAAAGTCTTCTTAAATCTTCTCTGTCTCTGTCTCCACAAGCTTCAGCTTATTCAACGGGACGCTCAGTCTGTATTTACTAGGTCTATTGATTTTCCTATTTGAAAACGCAATCTGTCCGTTCGGAAAAGACAAGTGAAACTTTGTTATGTACAGTTTACATATTCAAATTACGTCAAGCTAAAATCTACTCTAAAATTGTACTTGGAATGATTCTCCGTGTAATAGGGACTTAACTTGCTCTCGCAAAGTAAAGCGCTGATATTTCTCACGCCTTAATGTTATCCGATGCCAATCCCGCACGGTTCAGGATCCTAACACTTTCCATACAAATCGCGACATGAGTTATGCAAATCGTGCTAACGATCTCATGTACACGGCAATAATTTTATATACGTTTTCAGTTATTCCTCGTCTACTGTTTAATCGCCTCCGGCCTCGCCAAGCCGCCAGTGTTCCTCAGCTATCAAGACAGCCTGGGGCAATACAGTTTCGGCTACAGCGCGCCGGGATCGGCCAGGTCGGAGGTCAGGACGTCCAACGGTGCGACCAGAGGCACTTACAGCTACGTTGACGAAACTGGCGTTATCCAGACCGCGCAGTACGTCGCCGACGGCGAAAATGGGTTCCGAGTGATCGCGACAAATCTCCCGCAGGCGCCACTTCCGGTCCAGGACACGCCGGAAGTGATGGCCGCGCGCACGGCGCATCTTCAGGCTCTAGAACTGGCGGCCAAGAGGGACGAAGAGGCTCAGAATCGCGACAAGAATCGAGAGCACGCGAGGAAGAAGGACATCGTCGGGAACGCGAGCCTCTATAAGATACGAGGACGATTGGGAGCTAAGATCGCGGAAATCCCATCGAACGTAGGGGAGCGAACAGCGTTGGAGAACACGAGGAGCGCCGAGCCGAAGGACAGCGACGAGATTCTGCAGGCGGTCGCTTCGAAAAGCGGCACTGACAAGCCGGACGACAAGAGCGCGCGGAAGGTACGTCAAACTCTGAAACATTTTCAACAATCATTTCGTAAATTTTGCAAATTCTTAAACGACATTCGATGGAATACCTAAGACACGAGCGTCTCGAAGTATTCCGCTCGAAAATTCTCCCCTCATCGGCATTTTCTGCTCGCGGCCCGCAGGAATTCGCCGGAAGAGTATCGCAGGAAATTATCGGCGGCGCAAATATCCCAGCGATCCCGTCAATCTCCTCGCACGTGCCGCTATCTCAGGCGTTGGGACAACACGCGGTGCCGGTATTTCGGATCACCTATGGAAACTACGAGATCCAGCCTTCCGCCGTACCGGAGTCATCGATCGCCGAAGGTCATTGGGATTGTAACTCACCTTACCGTTCACTCTCTCCTCTGCTCTGATTGCAAATACCAAGTCGCCGTGGGCTATTTTCGTGAAATACTTTTAAGCTCTCCGTACGACGCGGTTCTCCCTCTCTAAAAGTCAATCAGTGGATTACCACTGAGATCAGCGAATAGCCACTAATTTCCAGTTACGAGTGCACTACTGATCGCAGTGGTACAACTGTGACCATTCACTGCTATCAGTGAAAATCCACCGATTGACTTTTAGAGAGTCGCGACAGTTTCCATTACGCATCTCCCCACAGATCTTTGAATTGCCGCGTCGCTTAAACGCACCGCTGGAAATTCGATGCCGCGAGGAAGGTTCGTAGTTGCGCGCTGCGCTCAATATCACTTCATCCCAGGGAAAAATACGGGATCGTTGTTCCACTCGTACCTACTGCCTTTTTTCCCGTCGTTCTCCCGAAGGTCGCCTCATTTCCGGGGCCGAAGACCGTCTGAGGTCACCCTTGTCTCACCGCGATTGCGACCGGTTCGCAAACCCGTTCGTCGATACTGCAAATTCGTCTTCGACAAATACAACCCGAGTCGAAATTTTGGTACTACTTTGACACTTTTAAGGATAATTCACACCCACTTAGCCCAGCACTAACCAACTTCGATGACATTATATTTTTGTACTCCTCCCTTGAATCTTTAATTCTAAAAATTTACTTTAGCTCCTACTTAAAAGGACCTACTTTAATGCTAAATTGGCAAAATTTCCGACACCGTCAGTTTTTAAGCAGGAGTAAATTTTGTACTTGCAGTTCGACCTCTTTTACTGTCTCAGGTCCTACTGTATAACAGAACTAAAGGTTCAACACAGGGCCAAAATTTCGACTCGGGAAGCCGACGGCCAGGAACGAGAATCGATGTTAGTGAAAATGATTGTCTCGCTCTTCTCCGCAGGCGCTTTCCGTGTTGTCACGCCGGCGGCAACGATCCTGAAGAGTGCGACGGCGATTTCGACCGAGGGGGCAGCGGCGCCGAAGAAGAAGAAGGCATCGTCGCGGCGTACGACCGAACAAATTCGCACCGTCAATCCTGTGTCGCTCGTACCGCTGAAAGTGGCCCCGCCGAGTCCCTCGTACCTGGGTATCGTCAGATACGTACCGTCGGCGCCTCTTCACTATCTCCCTTACAACGCGCTGTAAGGAGGCGCGCGAAGAGCAAGAGCTCCAACGATCTGAAATAATCAAACTGAACTCTGGGCTCCCTTTCATTTGCGTTTGTCAAGATATTTTTATTCTTCTTTACAAAATAATGCAGGATGTCGTCGGACAATACAACGGAGTAGTACACGTATACGATCGATACTAAGGATAAGGATAATCAAAATCAGCGTCGTCGTCGTCGCCATCGCCGCCATCGTCACTCGTCGTGGAGACATCGGTATAGCGTGAAAAGTAACGCTTAGGTATATAAAATAGTTGGAATATTAAATAGTAAATGCCTAAAGGGAAAGAAATCTGGCGCGGACTTCCTTAAAGTAACGGATCAGTGAGCCTGATTAAGAATTAACATGTAAGGTCCGTTAATAAAATGGCGAAACTACTACACACAACAGCCGTTGCATCTACACGATATATCAATTGGAACGAAGCGTGCCCCGACACTTTGGTCACGTTCAAGAGACGTCAGACAGGACGATTTGGAAATCACGTGCGGAAAATATATCGGTGTTAAAAAATTTCATCTACCCTCCGCCCTCGTGAGTCTGAAATCTTTCGATCAGATCGATCCAAGGAGAGCGGGTCTGGAGTGAAAAGGCTACGCCGTTCGAACGCAATATCCGCCCTTGGTGTACTCGTCTCTCAAAATTGCGCCGGACAACCCTCGCCGGGAATGTTTACGCGGGGGGAGGGGTCTACTGTTACTGGCCTGAGAGATTTATTTCTAGATTCTGCATCGCGTGGATCGCGGGCGATTTAAGCTCGAGGTGGGTCGCGCTCTGCGATAATTCATTACCGCGAATCTCGGCGATTGCAGCAGGCGAGCACGTCCGAAATTGATTGCGGCCGACCGGCCGCAGGCTCCATCCGCTTCTGCCGCGCAATTTAAGCCACGACACCGCCGCTCATCGCGACGCGCATAAATCGATCCGAGTAACGAAAGCGACGGGTTGTTAGTAGCGGGACTGTCGATACTATTCGATATTGTTCGGTAATAACGGCAAAATAAAATTATATTAATAGCGAAGGAAGGAAGAGTTATAACGACGTAATTGATATATCTGTGCCTCTCCACGCCCCGCCGTTGCCCACATTTCTCTATACATAACATTCTCTTTCACATATATATTTATATATATATAAATCTAAATTTTATAATATGTATTTATAATGTTCATATTTATATATAACACACTTGTTCTAAACGTCAAACGCATTGACTTCGAAGCTCGGATGATCGATAACCCTCCGATCCTCGTCGCGTACTCTGTTCTTTTTTCCTTTTTACTTACTGCCCATTGACCTGCGCGGTTTCCTCCCTACTTGTTCCAGCCTCATACCCGATATGCTGCCTCAATGTTATACTTGCTACGCTGCTAGCAGCGACGGGCAATTTGCAGCGCGCGATGTACGGGACGTCGTACGTACGGCTAACATTGCGCGAGTGTTCCGAATATTTATTAAATTAGAAGATTACATCCGAAAAGTACTCGTTTACATTACATCTGGCGGATACGCGTTTGTACCTGTGGATGCTGCTTGCCGCGATGCTTCCGTCAAATATCCACGAACCTGCGGAAGCCGCGTGGGCCAGTAAAACTCGCAGTCAAAAGTCGTCCGAGAAATGCCCTGAAGAGCCGAGTTTTAGTGACCCGCCCGGTTCCCCGCCGTCTCTCACAGCGCGCGATTTACGTCAATGCGAGCAAATTATACCGAGAAAACAGGATATAGAATTTATACAGGCGTGAACTACTGTACACACGAATATCTCGCCGCGGACACTCGTTCGTGCGCGGCGACACTCGGAATACCTCTCGCGAAAGATAAAATATTTACTTAACGTTACGTGAGCAATATATGGAAACGATAGCACAATTTCTCTAGTTAAAACAATTCTCGCTCGCCTTAATCCGTATCGATCGTCTTAAGCCTTCCATTGAAAACTTCTTGGTACTTTCTGGTTCCTAAAGAAGTGAAAATAGCCACGAGGGAAAGTCCACCCTTTCATTTTGCGCAAGGGAAATTTTGTGAATGAATCATTTCAAAAGGAAGATAAGATTCATTTCGTACAATCCCGAGTCGAAATTTTGGCCCTATGTTGACCCTTTAATTCTAGTATAGGACTTAAGACATTAAAAGAGGTCGAACTGCAGGTACAAAATTTACTCCTACTTAAAAACTGACAGTGTCGAAAATTTTGCCAATTTAGCATTAAAGTAGGTTTTTTTTCAAGTTTGAGAATTAAAGAGTCAAGGGAGGAGTAAAAAAATATAATGTCATCAAAGTAGATTATTGCTGATCTATGTAGGTGTAAATTATCCTTAAAAGTGTCAAAAAATACCAAAATTTCGACTCGGGATTAGAATAAGGACTGTTCACGATAAATCTCCTGGATATCTTTAAGCGTTTAAAAGTTAAAAATATAAAGAAGACAGTTTACGCGGCGCCAGGTTTCATCCCTCGCCAACGTCTTGAGAATCGGATGCGCCACGCTCGCTTTCTCTCGTCCGCGGGGCGTATCTTCCTAATTCGCGCGTATGGGCGGTACGTTTTCAAAGTCAATTAAAAATTGAACTCGATCGGCGTGCGAGTTCGCGGGGGATTAGACGTCGTGCGATCCAAATCGTCGCCGGGACGGGAGGGGTCGTTCGGGCGCAGCCGACTTTCGCGATAGCTGCCCTCGGCGAAGCCTGCGTTTCGCGCGCGGCGCTTTGTCTTGTAAAAACGTGGCAATTTGATTGTTTGACTCGAGATTCACTTGGTCTCGAGGGTAGTCTCGCGACTCTCCGGATGGAAAATACGACGATGCGGCCCGTCGAATATCCATAAATTGATCTCACGCTTCTTTTTATTTTTTGTATTATTATACTTCTCTTTTGTGCTACGCTTCACGAAACTACTGCCGACTTACTTGGCGACACGATAAAATTTATTACTTAATGCTCTCTCTATATATAGTTCGCTATTATTAATCTTGTTCTTTCTCTTCCCTTCTTCACGTAAATATGTTATACGAGTATGATCTGTACGTGGACCGTTTCTTCTTTGTTGCGCGTGCGTGTACTGTGTATGAGTACTCGGGTTTTCACATCGCGTGAATGTAATTAGCTCGGATGATCTCGTCCTGACTTAATTATAATCGTGTATCGATGATTTCGATTGACTATGGTCGAAAGGTGGGCACGTTTTTCTTTCCGCGCGTTAATTATGAACAATTGACATTGTACTCGTTTCTAAAAAACTTATAATCAGACATCGAAGAACTCTCGCTCGCACTCTCTCTCTCTCTCTCTCTCTCTCTCTCTCTCTTTCTCTCTCCCAAACAGTACTTTCGTTAATTTTTGCGCCCGAATTTTCGCTAAAATGCCTCATCGTCATTCGCACAATATATTCTCACTGGACACAAGTCGTTAGAGGGTGAATAGTTGTGCACTGCAGAAGGAAAAAGTGTTATGCTACTCAATTTCTTGCCAGCGTAATAAGCTTGACAAAAGAAAAATGGAGCGGGTCTAGAGAAAGTGGTAAATTTGCACAAGTTAGATTAATTTTAGGGGGAACAATACGACAGACTGTAATTAGAGATTACAATCGTAATTGTTCTCGTCGATATTTAACGAGAGGAAAGTATTGTTGTTGTTCTCGTTGTATTCAACTTTCGAGAAATATTATCAGATTGTTGCAAATACGACCTTTTTAATACTGTTTTACACGAGTATATTTGCAGCAAGTTTCTAATAAATAACGATAATAATATTCCGACGGTAGAAAGAAACTAGCGAAAGTGTCAAGTGGAATAGTAAAAGTTATTAAAAACGCGACGGAAATATTAACTCTATATAAATGCAATTACACATTGTAGGATCGTATTAATGGATTATTAATTACTTACAGATGTGATTTAATAAAATAACTAATATTTGATTTTCCCAATTATGAATAATATTATTCTAATATAAACTCTAGATTAATCTATAAAGCTATTTATAAAGAATGGATTTTTTTTAAGAATTATAATTTTGATGTAAAATACAATGGAAAAAAATATCAAGATTTCTCGTCTTCGTTCTCAGTAAACGATTCTTTATAAAAGTGTCTTTAAAATCTACAGAGTCTACAATCTATGTCTACAGAAAAACGAGGAAATAGTTTGTTAAATTTCTTATCTCTTTAGCGCGCAAAATTATTTGCAGCATATCATTAAATTCACTAATATTCCTTCAGTAATAAACTTTGCAATCATGTTCTCGTTCCCAGATTCACTTTGCCGTAACCAGAGTTACATATTCTCGTAACTCGTGGCGTATTAATTTCTTGAAAAAAAAGTACTGCGTACTTGTAATTATTTACTCTCCGCGCTGCACCGAACTTTTTATGACGACTTCATTTTCTATTTGCGCGAATTCACGAAGTATTAAAGCGGAAGATGATTTTCTTATGCGACTTTTCCCTTTCCTGGAATCAAACAAGTGTGTACCTGTTTAAAATCCAGAAATAAATTTCCCGTTACAAATAATCTTTATTCAGATATTTCATTCAAAAATAAATTTATCGATATGCTGCAATCGGACGAGATTGAAACGCATCGCTTCCCCCGAAAGAACGAGACCTCCGATTTTTTTTTTACTAAATAAAAAACATAGCAGCTTACCTACATTTACACACTACGTTAACCTTTGACTAATCGTCAGCGTCCACCGTTGTTCTCCTTCTCTAGTAAACTCGGGAACGCTGAGAAATACGTAGACTTTATACACATATTACGTTTACCTCGCGCGATCGCGCGATCGCGCCGTTCGTTATAAAGTAATTTATCTAAATTGCATACGCGCCGGTCCAGGTGTCTCATCAGCGTGAATCTTAACACGAATGCCGACTACGACGCTTGGAAGACGCTCGGCGTAATCAAGCCTGTACCAGACTACGGATTGAGATTGGGATTAGATAGAAATTTGACCAATCAGAGTAAAAATCACTGAACTTTACTGATTGGTCCAATTTCAACCTAATCTCAATCCGTAGTCTGATACGGGCTTCACGAATATCCCGGCGATCGGAGAATTTGTCTTCCGCGGCGCAAACACACTTGTCTCGTTAGTTCACCCTCATAAAGCGCATAATCTGAATATCCATTTGTCTACCTAGCTACACGAAGCCTTCGCGATGGCCCCATCACGCGCGTAACCACACATACGATGATTTCGGCAGGCGATTAATCAATTATTAGACCGTTCACCGTTTCGTCCCAGCGAAATCAGCAAGTTTCGCTCGCTTACGCTCGTCACGAATCGGGGCGATTTAAATGGTAACCGAGGTCGTTCGCCGAACTTCGGAAACGTACACTTGAGAGATGCGGTTTAGGTGTATCTTGCTGCTCGTGCGGGTGTCGTGGTGTGATTGCGAACATGTGTATCTCGTGTAACACACAATGATGCACAGAGAACAGCACCATGCAGGAGAAAGATTTCAAAGATCGAGAAATTGTAGCGGCACGGGTCACATGTCGTTCTTGATTCGACGTTGCTACGCGCCGGACTGTCTTCCAGTCTGCGTTGATGTTTAAGGGAAGTGTTTCCCAACACTGATAAAGAATATCTATTAATGTAATAAAATATCGAACTGCCGGAAGGTCGTGCGTTATCCTTGCATTAACAAGACGGTCTGACCGTCAGTTCTAGTCCCGTGCGTAGCGACTGTTATCGAGCCAACAACGACATAGCGACGTTTCCGTGAGTGTCCACGTGCCGAAAAGATCAAAGTTTCCAGTAACAATAAAATTATATAGTAACAGTGGTAGAGCAGTAGTAATAGTAGTAGTAATAGTAGGCCGTTCGAAGTAGATGGCGAGGGGGAAGACGACGACAGGCAGTAGCATAGCGATAGTTCGACGATCAGTTCGAGCTGGAAGAAAAGTCACCGGGGAAAGAGGGGAACTGAGAGACAGATCTGAAAAATTAATAAAATTAAATCTCCCCCGAGACGATCCCCTCCGCAATTACGCCGAACAAAATTTCGACGTCGCCGAGGAAAGGAAATGTCGGTCTGTTAGAAAAAAGAAAAAGAAAGAAAATAGAAGAGGATCATCAAACGGGGATTCCATCGAAAGTTGAAGCTCTAGTAACTAGTAACAGATATGTTATTGCTGCAGAATGAAGACATCGCGATTGCAAGTATCACAGCAACGTGTGAGGTAATGTCTGCCTCGTAAGCTACGTAGAGGGGAAAGAAGAGCGTCGTTATTGGATCGTGAGCGGTTAGTAGAAAAGGACAGGGTACAGTACATATATATACATTGAGATAAGAGTGTGTATATATATATAGCATGTATATATATAGTATACAGACAGATGTAGAGCTACATAGATATACGGAACGCTAGAGGTACAAGTAGAATATGATATATGGAATACGAAATTATATAGAGTGCCACTAGACTTAGTTATGCAGCTTGTTGACAATACAAAACGTTAGTACGGTAGTGGTCAAGCTCGTCAGAGATAAACGCGACGTCCATCGAACATAGCTCGTGCGGTTCCCCGGTGCTCCGATACATACCTTACGCAAAATATAGTCTTCCCCCAACGAGATATATGCATCTTGTTACAATAAAAATACAAGTATTTACATCAAAGTAGTTTCCAACAACGCGCTGAACAATCCCCCTCGTTTGCCGAGCGAGGGTTTTCAATATTCGTCCCGCCTCACGCCCGACGACGGTAACGCGTCGTTCGGGCCATTATTTTAATTAATAATCGTTGATTAGAATTTGAATATCTCTCTCTCCGAGTTTCATATTTAAAGACAAAGAGACCCGCGAATGAAGATTCGCTCCGACGTAGCAGGACTCGTTCCGAAGGATATGGATGGACGTCGAGTGATCTCTGACATATATCGGAAGTGTGTGTGTATATATATATATATATGTATATATACACCTGTTGGCAAGAATTCAGTGCCACCGGAACAAAATGATCGCACGGCTTCCGATCGTGCTCGCAATCTCGACTCGGTCGATCGCCGTCGCGGAGACATTGCCAACGCATATATAAATTACTCTGTGGATCGCGACTCGATCCATTCTCTCTTCTCCTCTCTAATACCACATTAGACGCCTCTTGCTTCCCTTCACTTCTCATCTCATTCTCTCTCACTCTCGCTCTCCCTTTCCTTCTCGTCACTTCACTTCGCGCACTCTTTCTCGACTCTAAAAAGGTAATGACGTTGATCCCATAGAATATAGTGTTTAAACATCTAGGCACAATTCCTAATGATTGTTTTGGGCGAGCTTGTGCGCAAGAAAATCCTCCTCCCTCACTCCCGAACGGCGGAACTCCGTTTCTCGGATCTTCGGACGCGTCGTCGACGTCCTGCCCGCTCTTAACAGAAGCGCATAACTAAGAACGGTAATTCCTTAGCGAAGACCCGTTTGTGGAAGACACGAGCCCTTTAATTCTTGAAAGACCTAAATACGACTTCGACGTGTCTCCGATCCTCAAGTAATCTGAGAGAAACGGCTCGATATAAAAATTTATTTACCTCGCATCCATTTCGATGTGAGAATCGCAAATCAAGAGATCGAACAATTGTGATTAATCAGCGATTAATTATGCGCTCCGCTCGTGTTTCGTCTGGCGGAGCAGAGTCTTCAGACGCGCTGAAAGATACGAAATACAAAGTTCGATCAACCCTTTCTTCCTGTATAGACCGTAAAGAGTCGCCGCGCGCGTGTGGATCATGAATCATCGTGCGATTTACGACTCGCTCCGCTTCAATCCACATTGACGCGGTTTCCCTTGATTGAAAAAGAGGTAAAAATAAAAAAAACAAGATTAAATAGAGTGGATCATGAGCGGGAGGGTCGAGGATCGCGACAAAAGGAGCGACATAAGGAGTACGTCAATGCACGTGCGTCTATACATACGTTTATGAGCATACATATCTAGATATGCATCCCTCAGGGGTAAAAGTTGCTTTTCGGAATAAGTAAGATCGCACGGAAGCTCTTTAGGTCGCTCCCACCCGAGGATCGCGCGAAATGGAAGATGATTCAGGGAGAAGGGCGATTAGGCAGCCGGAGACATACTGAAAAAAACACAAAAAAACGGGTAGGTTTATTTTTTTTTCTTGTTTCAATCGTTTTCTTGACAAATCGAAGATTAATTATATGTATATGTACTTTCGTCCCGCTCGCTCGCGAAGTCTTTTTATTCTCGCTTCGACACTCGGTGATATCAGAGGAAGGGGAGTCAGTGGAAGAAATAAATGTGTCGGAAGGGTAAGTGTGATAGAGAAAAACAAAACGGTAGAGATTCGCAACACCAAGTAGATGCAGGGGCGGGAAAGGGGGAGAGGGATAGGTGGAAATTTCGATTAAAAGTCGTTGTTTCCGTTAAAAACGAGATAAAATAAAGAACAGGCAAGGACATACAGTTACTTACGGGCCGTAAACGCATTGACGGTTACAGTAAGAGCATTGGTCGGAGCGGCAACAGTAGCACTCATAGTATAGTAGAGTAATACAATAGTAGAGTAATATAGTAATGATAAGAATAGAAGTATAGTATAAAGCACATACGCGATTTATATGTATGTATAATAATAATATATGTATAGAGAGAGAGAGTATGTGAGAAAGATTAAGAGAGATAGAAGTAATATAGATGATGAAGAGAGAGAGAGAGAGAGAGAGAGAGAAGTAGAGAGACAGAAAAGACGTAATATAGTTAAGAGATAGATGATGAACGTAGAGAATAACAGGCCGCATTGCTGTGAACTCGATTATCGTAAAGAGATAAGGCCCATTTTACACCTTTTCTTTTTATTTCGAAAGTCGCCGAAGCAACAGTCGTCACAAATTAATCCGCGAGCAATGCGGATCGTTATGAATTTCTGACAGAGGGAGAAAAGATGAAGAGGAAAAGTAAGAGTGATAATAGAGAACGTGACTGTAAAAGTGGTAAAGAACGAGTAGCAATAGTGGAATAGAGTGAGAGTAGAGTAGCAGTAAATGACAGAGACAAGAGTAAGAGATAGTGTAAGAGATAAGAGTAAGAGTGAACAGCAATAGTATCGTTATCAAAGAGCGATAGTCCGGAGGATTAAAATTAAGAAGATCATGATAAGAATATACTAAAACGTAACAAGTGCGTTTTTCCAGCGAGAAGAGCAGTCTCTCTCTCTTTCTCTCTCTCTCTCTCTTTCGGCACGTAAATTAAGCGCGTCGTTAATGCTAAGATAAAAAAAAAGAAGGAGAATTCATTAAAGATAAGAACAAGATAATTATATAATAAGAGTAGGTAATTAATATTAATTAGCGCTAATAATAGTCAAGATCGCAGTGGCGCGATAATAGCAACCGGCGACAATTAAAAAGTATAAAAATAAGATTAAAAGTAAAAGATAAGAAGCGCAAAAGTAAAACGCAAAAAAATAAATTCGGTAGCTTCAGCGGGAAGAAGTAGTGAACGATGATAATACCGATAATGTCAAAGTGGTGGAACGGGAATACTCGTAAGACGCTAAAACGCGGACAGACCTGGAAGATATACAATTGTACAATCGAACTTCTCGCACCTGTGATATGTACACATTCTCTTAAATATTTCCTGAGGTAATCTCACGAACGTGCATGCATAACGTAAAGGAACCACTTTTCGCGGGGTGAGATTCGTAGAAGCGTTTATCTCTAATTCACATAAAAGTTTACGCTCGTCGTCTAAATACATATCTTTTGGGCTAGCGAAACAAATTACGCGCACGATTTGCGAGTCACGAGAAGGAAATTATGAATACGAATAGAATCAAGAAAATAGGATCTCTCGCGCGCGAGCAGATGTGTCGCGGGAATTAATTAAGAGGAGGGAAAATTACGAAATTAAATCAAGAAGAGAGAAAAATTTTGCGATACAAAACTTGGAACGGTATACAGCCAATGGAATAGATACGCGCCAACGACGGTCGATCTCTTTTCCGAGGAAGGACCGAACGGTAAAAGCGCCTCCAGATCTGTCGAGATGGAGAATCGAGAAAAACACTTTCGTTAAAACAGGGCTGGGGTCCAAGAGTCGAGCTATAAAAAGGTCGTGGGCGATAATGTTAACAATATCGCGTCAGCGTACACTGTACATGTGGTTGGTTTCCGTGTGAGCGTGTCGTGCCAAAAAAAAGGCACGTGGAAGATCGTCAATCGTATGTGTTTCACGCGTGTCAAAAAGTATAGATATATATATCCTCGTGTTTAATTATATATTTATATATATATATCATGCATGTGTGTATGTATGATAAATGCGAACGTGTGGATGTGCGCGCGTAAATGCTGACCGACAGTAAAAAGATCGTCTCGACGATCCGAAAGAAATCTCTCCTCCCTTTTAACTCCTCCTTCTCCCTTTTCTCCACATTACAACTGTGTTCCCTGAATTTTTGTTTCTCTTACTTTCTTCTTTTCTCCTGCCGCGCGCTTCCATCGCGATTCGCACCGCGGTGCAGGGCGCAACGAACACAAAAAAAAAATAAAAATAAGATCACTCGCGATCTCCGCCTTTCTACCGATAGACTAATCCCTAATCGAACTTACTAAGAAAGAGCTTAACCATAAAACGCCCGCTCTGACAATGGTTCTCGTCGAAAGAAAATTGTCTGTTTTGCCGGAGACGAGCTGATTGTGACTTGCAACGCAATTCCTGGCCCATGTGATTGGTTTTCTCTCTCATATATATCTTTTTTTTTTAAAGATTTATTAGCTTTTAAAGCACGCCTCGCCGACGATCGAGCTCCCGATGACGCGATTTCAGATTTTAACAATCGTCCTCACGCGTTGCAAATGCGTTGTTTCTGCAATAACAGAAAAGTATCTCTCGCGGGAAAAGGAGAGACCCCTTCCCTTTATCGAGAGCGACGCGCGGAATTGTCGTCGGCAGCTGATCGAATCGGCGAACGACGACTGTGAGACAAGGGAAAGAAGGAAGGTAGTACACGCAGAAAACCAAGGATCTTCCTGGGCACGGAATTTGGAAAGTTCGAGAGCTAAAAGGCGGAGCTGACACTTGTCACGATAGGCTTGGAAGTTTTTGCAAACAGGCGAAAAATAGCTGGCAAGATTGCTCGGAAAGGCTTAGAGTGAAGAAGTTATGTACAACCTGAGATTTTTCACGAAATTACCGAACGCTGATAGGGATGTGAGAAACGCCAGAGATGTTACTCTAAGCTCTACAAATTTATCAAACGAAATATTCATATCCGCACGCAGGCAACTTTTACAAGATCTCTCGTCGTTAATGTGCCAAAACTAATACGGTGACTGAATAATGCGGCTAAAATATCGGTAAAAGGCAATCCGTTGAAGATACATTTATCGGCCACGAAATGTCCCGAAAAGACATAAAACTGTCCTTCCAACAATCGTCTTGCGAGAGAGACATCGACCTAGTTACAAGTCTAGACAACTTCGGATAAATAAGTCGCGATAACGACGCGAGCCGGAGAGAAACGAGTCAACGTATTTTCTATCTTCACGCGTCTTCTTTTCCTTTCATTTACAGCTCTGGCCGGTTGGGTTGCGAATTCGCGCCTAGTTGTCCGCCAGCTCGGTGAAATTCTCTCGAAGAAGGAAAGTCCACGATCAGGAGCACGGGAAAGCCTCGCTCCGAGGAGGGGGATGAGGATGGGGGGACCGAGAAAAAGAAGGGAAGAAAGGGGGTTCGGTGCGTAGGCAGCTTATCACGGCTTCTCCGAGATTCCCTTCGTCAATTGTCGATACAGAGAGTCGAGTGATTGTCATTTAACTATACACGTTACTTAAGTCTGGAGGCTTAATTAGAAAGGAGCAACTACACGACTCTAAGACGCTACTAACGTTTCTGCTTTTTTTTTTTACTTCGCTAACATTCCTCCGTTACAGGATCGCGTCTTTCTTCCTCCTCCTCTCTTCTCCCTCGAGCAACTCGCTTCTCAGGCGCCTTAACGACTACTGCTTAGTTAATTTCTACAGCTCTCGCTGGCTTACGACGTACAGTTTTTTCTTTTTCTTTTTCTTTTTACGCGAATTAGCCGTCCTTTGTACGCGCGCTAATCGAGAAGAAACAAACAGATACCCTACATTTCCGACTACGAGGTTGTCGTCTCGTCGCGGGAGGCTCTGAACGATCACCCCGCCTCGCTACTTCTCTCTCTTTATCACCTCGAAAATTAGGCTCCATTGAATTGTACGTTTATCTCTACGTTCGTCCTCATCTCTTACGGTATATCGGCATGGCGATAGCGACAGCGGTACAGTCTCGGTACTATTCGAAATATTTGATAGCGGCTCGAGGCCTCTCTCTCTTCGTTATCCCCCCTCCCCCCCTTAAAGTAAGAAAACCAACGCGAGAACTCGAGACGTAAGGACCGGTCGAACTGCACCCTTGCGGGCGAACGAAGGTAAAATGATGGCTGTCAAGCTGTTCGATAGTTGACTCGTCCGCGGTCCCACCGTCTCGTCTCACGCCCTTCGTCCTCGAGATCTAAACTGGCGTGACTCTCGTGAAAGTAAGAGGGCAGGCAAGAAAATCGCGGAGTCGCTCAGTCAACAGGCACACCAGCGTATAATCCGCGCGTTTCAGCGATCCATGCACGCCACGCATGCGGAGGAAGAAGCCTCGCGCGCGGACTCTCATCGCCCGTCCACACTCAAAGGGTCGAGATAACGATCGGTGCGGTAAACGCAATTCGAAGGAATCTAAAGCCAAGACCTCCAGAAACGCGCCGAACTGCGACAACGTGTGCGGCAACGAATCGAAGGATTTCAGTTTCAACGCGGGAAGCTTGCGGCAAGCTTCCGATTGGTCGACTCGCCTTACCGCAGGCGTTGCCACAGCGCATCTATAGGGTCTCAGCGTAAGAGCTCAAGTAAATCAAACGGGAACGAACTATTGGAATTTTGATGGCGAAAGTAAAAACGATCTTCTCGTTCTCTCGGTACTCGGAGGCTTCACTGTTGCGTCGTCCAATTGTGATTATCTTAATATCGCAACGTGTCGGCAAGTGGAGACCGGTCGCTATCTCGACCCTGCTAAACTCCTCCGTGTAAAATCGGCTACGATCTGCTCTCTCACTGTCGACGCTGCACACCGAAGACCTTCGTCACGTCCGCACTTTGGAGACCCTGTGTGTCTTTTAAATGCTTCTCTCCTCTCGCGATGAAGTAACGTATACTTATTTTAATTTTATCGAGCTGTTTCCCCGTGTGAACGAGAGCGCGTGTAGTCTTGTGTGCTGCGTGTGCGTGTCGTCAAGGTGTTTTCTTGCTGCTGGCCGTCTGTTACCGTAGCATTCAAATTGTTCTCTCGATACTAGAAGAAGGAATCACTCGCGAGTCGCGTTCTCCGCTTTATCGCGACCACGCCTCCTCCGAATCGCGAACGTCCTAGCTCTAACACACGGGGGAAAAAAAAACAGAACCTGACGCGAGAAAACGGGGACACCTCTCTTCCGATCTATTCTCTCTCTCTCTCTCGGTACAAACGACGCCTAAGGCCCCGGTTAGGCAAGCAGATCGTATCCCGATAATTTTCTCAACGATGTATCTAAGATATAGCACAGATATAGTCATTTAAAACTCATCATATACATATATTTTTATACCCCCCCACGCCTCTCTATCCGATCACGTTAACGTTGCACATCGTATGTACGCGTGTATGTGTGCGTGTCCTCCTCCTTGTTCGCCGCCATGTACTTGAGTCTCCGCCGCGCATTATATAATATATATTTGTATAGATTAATCTTCTCTCTAATTTATGTGATAATCCGTAACACGTTAGTAACCCTATATATAGACTTATCCCTTATTAATAAAATATAGATTATCGGGATGCAGCCGCTGCGCATTTTGGACACACCTGTTACAATGCGATATATCAAATATATAATGGATACAAGTCCGTGTGAATGTACGTGCCGTGTGTACGTGTGAGCCTGGGTGTGCGTCTGGAGCGCGCGCGCGCGCGCACGTGTGTGTACTTGGCTTGCAATGCTAGCGTACATATATAGTTCGGTATATACCTTCTGTGTGTGTGTGTGTGTATGTGTAGATGTGTAGGCTAAGCTTCGTCTACTAACGTGGCTCTCTACCAGACCCCGAATTTCCTTGGTCCGAGTGCGATGTCTCACCGACGTCGCCGCGCCGTCGATTCCTCCCCGTGCCGCGTGACTCCCCCCTCGGCAACAACGAGCGACGAATAAGGGTCTTACGACGAGAAATCGCGTCGGGATTAACGCTCGCTCGGAAATCTCTCCCGCCCCCATTAACAAGTCCGTCCCGTTCGCCGCGACCCATCGTACGACCCATGCACGAAAGGGTAGCGTCTGCGTCGCGATGGGGGATGAAGGCGAGCGCGCCCGCACCCCCCGCTCGACTACCGGCCGATTCCTCGCGCGACGAGTCTGGGGAAATTTCGGAGTCTGAATAAATCTACGACACCATGTAGCGAGTGCTGGCTACTCCAACCCTCACCTCGGCCCCCCTCAACCCAGCTAGTGATATAGTCTGATCTAAACCGTCTACAGGGTGCCTCCTCTTTTCTTCTTTTTCTCTCCTTCTTTTTTTTTTTGGGCCTATCACGCGAGGACCGTCCGAGCGGAAAGGAGGAAGGCCGATCTCTAATGTGTAACGGCGACAGAATGAACCGAATAAGTGCGCGATTTAACGTCGGGCACCCTGTAGATATCTATAGCTCCCGTATATAGCTGCCCCGTTTCCGGTACGTTTTCTACTAGTAAACAGTCCATCGCGAGAAAGAGACGGCTCGCGAAGCGAGTCACTCTGGCGACGACGCTCGGAAGGAACCCCCTCGCGCCGAATTCCTCCTTCTGCGTGCAGAAGAGCTGATTGTCACCGTGGTGTGGACGTCGAGAGAACAAAAGAAGAGGGAGAAAGAACGAAGGGAGGGGGAAAAGAAACGTTCGGGCCGCGATAAGAAATTCCGAGAACGAGGGAGAGGGGAAAACTGAAGAAAGAGGGGGATAAAGCGGGCGCGGGCGCGCATGCCGTTGCGGCAGGAATGTGCTAAGAAACGGCCGGCAACAAGCGACAAAATGTAATCGGCAATCTGGCGTGAAGAACGCGGTGGGTGCTCGACGTTGCGACTCGCGGAAAAGATACACGTATATGTGTCCTGGGTGTGTCCGTGTACATATATAAATCGAAATATCTATGTATATATATATAGCTCGGGAAATCGAGTAACACTCTCTGTGCGAGCTGTTCAGGTACGCTTAGACGATATTCGTGCCGGAAGTAAGAATTGTACGGAAGCTCCCGCACGAAGTCTCTCCCTCCCCCCTTTCTCTTCCCCATCCTTGTGGCACTCTTGCGCATACGTTCCGCGATAAAAATCAAGGAGATACGAACGTGCGAACGTCAGCGCGCGCGCGCGGATACAAGACGCTCTAAAGGTGTCGCGCGGGGAAAAAAGACAAACGATCCGAGTGGAACGGACAAAGTAGAATCCGCGTAGGACCGAGAAGCGCCTCTCGAATTCCTAGATCGGTACGCGGGCGAACTAAGCGAGCCACCTGAAAACGAGGAGAAGCTGTCTTTTTATTCGGCCGAAATGAAAACTGCATCGCGCGCCGTACGGAACATCCGTGGGCGATTCGCGGAGTATTTTCGTGTTATTAATAGATATATACGTGTGCGTATGTGTCTGTCCTGTGTTTGCGTGGGTGTAAGTCTCGCGATTGCCTCTCGTGTGACAGACGTTGCAGTCCGGGTCGCCCGGACACGCGCGTCCGGTTAAGAATGTATAAATGCAGTCGAAGTAAATGATAGTACTCGGAGGTCCGAAAGACACAGATCATAGATGCAAAGACTGGCCCCTTCGCTCATGCCGGCTACTCGCTACGTCTCTAAATAAATCTAGCTGATTGGTCGGTACTCGATCGAGGCGGGATCGCCGATCGGAGGGGGGGCGGGGAATCCCGCGAAACGCTATGGGGGACGTTCCGTGCGAGGGGGAACAAAACCCTCCCTCCCGTGGGATTGGCGTCCGCGCGATCGAACAGGGATATCCCATATTCGCGCCGCTCGCCGAGAGAGATCCCGTTCTAGAATTTTAACTGCTAGCCTACTTTGGCACAAACAGCACACCATGCCCGAGCCGGCATTCGCTTTAATATTTTTTCTTTCTTTCTTCACGGTTATCGCGACTTGGAGAAACTCCTCTTCCCGCCCTTCTACGTGGTCTCATCCGTCAGAGCCGCGCGACACTAGGCTCGCGCGAGTACAACCCTTTCGCTCCGTTTCTCTCGCACTCGCGCAATCTCTCTCTCTCTCTCTTTCTCTCGCTCGCTCGCTCGCTCGCTCGCCCAGTTACGCCTTCGCATAACAGTGTCCCAACATGCGCTAAACTCCTCTTCCTACTTCTCTCTACGATCAGTTATGTTATGTAAGTAAAATTTAATTGACTCCAACAGAACGTCGAGTAGACAGAAACCCGCGGGCTTCGCCGATGCGCGCGCGAGGCACGTTCCGCCGCTCGAGGACCTCGGGACACTCCGCTCTTGATAGAGATGAGACCTCGATGTCGCAGCGCCCGATCGAAATTCCGCCTCGCGCTTCTCGGCGAGGACGACCCAGACACACCTCGAAAACCCAATCGATCTCTACACGTCTCGCACGCTTCTACTAAATCCCCGTAAATACGGTTCTAGCTTATTACTTTCCATGTGTCCGCGTATCTATGCTGTGTTTACAACGACGACTGGCCACCTCGAGTACTAATCCGCAAAGTTTCGGCACTTCCTCGAGATATACGCTCGTATTTACGGGGCATCCTCACAATCGCCGACTACTCAAGGAATGCTTTGATATCAGGAACTCTCGAAGGGGTAGACTCGAGGCTCGTCGAACGATGGACCTACCGTTGGCACGAAGATAGGACATATGTCTCTCTCCTCTTCGCACACGGATATCGTCCATCGGGCGCGAACCATCTTCGAGGTGTCCCGAGGTGTCACGCCGATCCGCCACGACCGGCGGTGCAAACTTTCCGCGCGTGCCCCGCGCGCCGCAAACCTTTTAATTAGCGATATGTTCAACGGTTCACTCCTTCCTCTCCTAGTCAATTACTTATCTAGTCGCTTACTAATACGATTAAGATCCTAACACACGCCTAAGCATCTATTCTAACTAAGAAATCTGCGCGCATTCAGTTGTACCTATGCGTCTATGTGTATCTCTGTGTGAGAGTGTATATAAATCAGAGGGCGGTCGAAACATTTATCTTCGCGCGCGGCGCGTGCGTGATTGTACGTGTATGTATGTGTGTTTGGCTTGTATGTGTCCTGTGTACGTATAACTGCATAATTGTACGGTCTCGTAAAGACGCGGATACGTGTGCGGGTGCGATATAATACTTATCTCCAAAACTGAAACGTACAAATTATAAAAATGCCATCATCTGCGACGACCGTACGGTGACGCGCGCAAACGCGTCGCGTGGGCCTCGGAGCGAGGGACTCGTCGTCAGCCATCGGGCGTTCAGGCGCCGCTCGACCTCCCCTAAGAAGCGTTCGACTTCGCCGGATAGTCGAGAATACTGCAGGTACCTTCGGGAGCGAAGAGACTCGCCCCGCGAAGAAGCATAAACGTAGGTTGAGCGGGCCGGATACGCTCAGAGTGGCCGTAGCCCGATATTATAGAATAGCTCTCAGCGCGCAACAAACGACTTTGATAATTGCTTCGCTTCCGCCTTACGAACGGATCAACCAATCGCGATAGGTAACGGATACGGAAAGAATTTTGAAGGCCGATCTGACGGTCCACCGCTAACCACAGCTATCCTCTCTGATTCTCGGCCGCCTGCCAATCCCGCGACGTAAAATCAACGAGGGCGATCGGTTCGTCGGCGAAGTAGTAGTACCTCGTGAAAGCATGCAAAAGGTCCCGTGACATTGGCCATTTTCTTACTTAGATACCCGGTTAATTAAACACGCCGTTCCCGTCGTACTCAATCGATCAGCATCGTCGATCGTATTGTCTCGCCCTCGAACGGAACGGAAGCCACGAACAAGTACGCTCGGTCGCGCATGTATTTGGTCGTCAGAAGAATGAAGATTGTCTCGTGGGAAACGCTGCCGGTTCACGGCTGTCGGCCGCCGTCGATCGCGCGCGAACGTACGACGCTCGTCGTCGGGATGCCACGCGGTCCATTCGTCCCCGCTTGGCCCTCTCCACGAGTCCGCTCGTCGAACAAACGCGCCGACCTACCGGAGACCTACTACCGAACAGTGATATACGGACGCCGTCGCGCGCGCTTATCGCGAGATGGTCACCCTTGTGTCCACGTAACTTTGAAAAACCCTTAACCGTAATCACTGTAGCGGTCCGGGCCGCGCGATCATGAATTTTACATGTATAATAATATATCTTATCTTCCCTAACGTCTCTGTACAAGAGTCGAGGACTGTTCGCCACAGGTTGTTTCCTCGCTCCCGTCTAATCTGAATCTCTTTTCTTACGCGTGCTTTACCTATAGCACGGCTGCTAGGCTCTTCGTTTGCATATCTCTCTCTCTCTTTCTCACGTTTGTTTTTGTTTTCTCTGATGACGGTTCTGGCTTTCACAAGAATGATCTATTTGTCGCATTATTATCCCTCTCTCTCTCTCTGTGTCTGTCTCTCCCTGTGATCCTCGTCTGTTTCTAAATTCTTCGCATTGTTAAAATTATGAAATTATCGCGTTAATGTGCTCGAAAGCCAGCACCGGAAACTACCTTCAAGAAGGCCGTCGCAAATTTGCATCTTCGTCATCTAACTTGAGCGCTTGCAGCCCTGGTACGTCTCGATACACCCTAGCAACCCTCGAATCGTCAGAATCAACCGGATGCGGAAACAGGTGCGTGCCGTATGTATAGATGTATAGATCCCAACAACAAGGGCAAGGCCTCGAAAGCATCCTAAGCTCGCTCGGACGAGGGTTAGCGCCTGTCCACTTGTGCTGCTTCAAGGTCCGAATGCGCGACGCAGTCCCGCATGGGTCACGCGCGCAGTGCAGCCGGCCGACAATAGCGTAGCGATTCTCGCAGGAACGGACGAGCACTTGAGCGGATCCAACTACGGGACCATCAGTCGTAGACCGAAGCGGGTGACCAAAGGGGGACTAGGGCGTACGGCTGGTACCACTGCTGCTCGTGCGGTGGCGATTCTTGTTAGATGTTGCTCTTGGAGAACGACACTCTGAGATGATTGGACTCGCTAAGCTGGTAGTTGTGCATTTTCTGCGAAAAGAGGACCGAGTCGGCTTTATAGTCGAGCAATTGGAATTTGTATCACACGTCGCGTAGTCGTCAGACTTTCAATTAGATCTCAAGTCAAGACCTTTTCTCCTTACTTTCTGCTTCCTCAAAAATACTTGCGATAGATACAGAAGCACGCTGTACGGAGAATCGGCGTTATCTTTTTCATAAAATCATCAAGAAATTCCATTTCTCGTTTGCGAAAAATTAGAATTAGTAAAGGATAACAAAAAAAACGAACGAGTTTGAAAAAACAAAGCTTCTCCAGAAAGTTGAGCGAGAGATTTGTAACTTGCAGCTGATGAAACAAGAAGGAAGCCAAGATCTATGTAAGATGGCTTTTCAAAGTTCGACTTGAGCCGCTATTGATGATAATAACGATGACTTACGATCAGCGCAGCCACGGCATCGTCCATGTTAGGCATCTGTATGAGAGCCATCTTCCTGTCCTTCGGGAAGAACTTGAAGGCTTTCACGGTGAAGCCGTTCTTGGTGAAAGCATCCTTGATCTCTTCCTCCGCTACCGTAGCCCTGAAACAGTAAATTGAACGTCGCTAAGCCACCGCGAGAGAAGGGAGCGCCGGCGTGAAACACTTGTTTCATCGCACTGTCGCTGGCCACTTACGGAATGTTTGATAAATGCAACGTCGCGCTCGGCGGATAGATGTTCTGATAATTCTTTGAGCCGGGTTTCTTGAATCGATGAAGGGTGCTGTTGGTGTAATCTTTCGTGAGGCCCGCGTCAGGCTGGCCTTCTTTTGGCAATTGGACCGTTTGGTGTTTGCTGAGCATTACTTTGATTTGCTTCCCAAACACCCTTAACTTGTCCATATGGGTCAGCGCTGTTGTATAAATTAAAATATTAATTAGCCATTGACGTGTCTGAGGGTAACATGATTTTGCGCTGTAATTACAAGATAACACGCGTGGCGATCGTGGGCGCAGATGATTGTGCGCTGGTCTGGTAATCCAAAGACTCGGGTTCAAAACCGAACAAAACATTGTTGGTTTTCGTTCGATCGCCACATAGCGAAGTAGAAATAGAGATAGGTGTTATAAGAGGTACGTTTCTTCAAAAACGCCTTGTAACCCCGAGGGAAATCAATAAAATGTATTTACATTTACAAAATGACACAAGTACAATCGTCAGATTAGAAACCGTGTCCTCAGATTTCCTACAGTGAAAAATTCCATACTTGGAGTTCATAGAAATCATGTTTTAGCTTCGTGACAAATTCAACGAACAGATTACGAGACAAAACACGGTTTCGCGTTTGGAAAAAAATGTCCACTCACCTAAAAGCGCCTGATGAGGTTCGGCCATCTGTATTAGTGCCGAGTCTTTCTTGTTGTAGAGGATCTTCACACGCTGTACATCCCCGTAAACGCCTACATGCACAATACGCAAATTTCTCTTTAGTAAACTTGGGGGGTAGCAACAAACCGCGTATTCTTTATAGAGAGGCTGCTTTGAGGATTATCGAAGATGAATGGGACAATATTTCGGTCGATCGAGATCAGGGTACGATCGGATCTAAGAATCGGGACATGCAAGAGGCGAGCGATTCGGCTAGAAGCTTTCACAGTATAAAGTTATTCCGGCTAACAAAAGAATTGTAATCTGTTAATATTTTTACATTTCAAAGTACACGTCATTCTTTTTCGATAATTTACTAAAATAAGTTATTGCGAATAAGTAATTTTGCAATTATTAACATCTTCGTAATCAAATAAATTTTTGTTAAACTGGAACGCATTGAAAATTAACGAAACAGCAACAACAATTTGTTACCCGCGTGTTTCCCCGAAGTTTAATTCATTTAAATTATACATTTCTCGATTTTACGTTAGCTACGGAGCGGGTGAAATTTTCGCTGGCTAAAAGTCGAAAAATGGGTGTCTACGGGAACGGACAGAAAATTTTTAATAATTTTTTAAAACGCGTTCCGTAACACAGTACGTGACTTTTGTGCACTCGTCTGTAATTATCCGGGAAAATCTGCATAACAATCGCTCGCGGAAAGGAAAAACACGTCCGCAGCCGAGTCGCCACGCCTCGTTAATAGTGAGTTCCTATGGAATTACGTAAAATAAGCGAAAGCTTACGTAATATTAAGGTTGTGTGGAACTGATATTAATAAAATTATTAATGAAATAATTTGTATAAAGAGAACGCTTGGGGATAGAGATTGTGAGAGAACGTGTTCGGTGGTGGCCGGAGTGGCGGCATGACGATGGTGATGAACGGCATCGTGAACGGTGATCATGAATTTGCGAATGGAGTAGTAATAAAATAAGTTGAAATCACGAAAATATCGAAAGAGTACGGATTAAAACGTTAATCAGAATATGTTATATGGCGGATGTTTCACGAGAATAAAACATGACGAGAGGGAAAAAGAATGACGATGCTTCGAGTTTTGTAAGTTGCCGAAAAGAAAAAAGAGAGAGAGAAAAAAATCATACGAAATAAAATGAAAAAAAAACGAATCGAAATTTAAAAAAACACACAATCGAGGAAGAAGGAAGAGATCTTCTTTTTTTCGGTATGAAACGCAAACCTCGGACGTGACAATCGTATGAGAAAGATTTCTACGTTGGAGTGTTCGTTTTGTTCGTGTACACGGTTCGTCTTGCTCGTCGCTATCGCGGAGGAATAATACGTGACCGAAGGAAAGATTCGGACGATTGTCTTCGCCTGCATTTTTCATCTCTTTTCTTTTTTTTCCCCCCTTTCGTTTGATATCCGAGACGTGTATGTTTCGCGTGTCGCGCGCCCGGATTTGTGTGGATTTGTTGCGTATATGCGTGAGAGCGCGAAGGTGTAAATATAATAATTAATAATGTAATATAATTAATAATATAAATGTGGAGACGTACCAAACAGGGTAAAGAGAGCGTCAGGCGTGACCATCTACACAGAGAACAGACAGAGTCCAGTCAGTAGTCAGCGAGTATAATAGGATTCAAATGTATAGTGTTGGCGCGCGCACAAGATTCGCATTTCCAAAGTTGAAAGCTCGCGACTAGGGAAAGAGACGCCTCGTGCAAAACGGACAGAGGAAGCGATAAGAAAAGAAGTTTAGCCTACGTGCTTTTACACGGTGCAATGAGCTACACGTTCGATTTTTCAGCGATAGCAGAAGAAACGCGTCTTTTCTTCCGTCTGTTTCTTTTACAAAAATTGAAAACTTGACTGCGAGGCTTGTGCGCGACACAACGATAGTAGACACACAGTTATAGTACAGTAGTGACAAGTTGCAGCTGCGAAGTGTGACGTCGACACACAGTTTCTTGCCGAGGCAACATTCATCATCCCGCTTCTTACGCGATGACGGTTTTGTCATTGAACGCTACCTTCGTATGCAGGAGCTGATAACAACGGCACGTAGCGAAGACGCGGACGGAATATCGTGAACCGAGGTGCAAGAAAGTAAATCGCGATGAGTGTCGCCTCGCAGGAAGTAACGTCGTTCAGTCGACGACGCTACGAATTAATTAGGGCGCGGGATGGTGACACGCGTTGGAGTGATTTGTATGTGTGTTTCGAAAATGAGCGGGGCAAGATCAGGGCAGAATCAAAGGTCTCGTGACGAAACAGGGCACATACGCATCGCGGCTCGACTTTTCCACCCACCCGAGGAGGAGCGGATCCTGGCCTCTCGTCCCATTATTTCAAACAAATCCCCACAGGAGAATCAAAATCAAGTGTTCCTTCTCCGGATTTCGAAACGTTTGGAAACCAAACGACTCAACGCTCACCGTTTTGTTCAAAATTGGTATTAAATGGACAAGTGTTCGTAAATTTCAATTACAACTTTCCACCTCGCAAACGTGGACCACGAGACTCTGGCGATCGAGAAGCTCGCGTCGCGGAGCTTGCGAGTCGTTTCATTATTTCAAACAAATCCCCACCGAAGGATAAAAAATTTCCTTCTCCGGATTCCGAAACGTTTGGAAACCAAGCGATTAATACTACACTGACAAAAGTGTTTGTCAATTTCTATAACATTGAACAATTTCTATAACAAGTTTCCACCCCTAGGAATTTAATAATTGACGAGATCAACCGAAGCTCTCGGCTCGGTGGAAAGATCGAGCCGGAAGAATCGAGAGATTGCGGGGTCTGCCTACGTAGCACTACGTTGTAACTCGCTCGTTAGGCCGTGTAATTATACGTGTATGCACGTGCGTATATACCGGATGGGGGTTGGCTGGTCGGTGGGTCCCGCGTGTCGCACACTGAGAGAAATAGCGTGCGGTCTCCGAGGGGGTTGGGTGACGAGGGTACACGAGAGCCCGAGAACGGGGAAGAGAATAGAGAGGGAGAAGTGAGAAGGTACAGAGAAGATAAAGAAGATGCGGTCGCGCGTATGTGTGCGTGTGTCGCGCGGCGGGCAAGACGATAATGTTCTTGCGACGGAGACATAGCGGGCCAGGGGCTTGAGTGCACGCATACACACACACGCACACGCGCACACACATACACACACGTACACGCACGCATACACACTGCGGTAAAGACAGATGCCACACTACAGATACATTATTCAGCACACTTATTCGTACGTGGGCGGCGGCCTACTTCTCTCAGTGCTCGAGGTTCTAAGTACTCGAACGACGCGCAACACCCCCGTTATCGCACGCGTCGTTTAACGCTTCGTTTCGTTAAGCACACGTGTCGTTGCGCCTAGAAATCTGCGCTACATTCGCCGTCTCGTGTTCTCTCAGAATCAGTCGAAACAATAGACATAGGAAATGTAGACTGAGCGTCCCATTGAATAAGCTGAAGCTTGTGAAGAGAGAGATAGGAAAGATTTAAGAAGACTTTCTTGTCTCACCATCGCGACAAGGTAGAATCACGCCTGCGCAACGATTCTTTTCTTTTACGATGGTGTTAGACAGAGAAAGAAAGTCTTCTTAAATCTTCTCTCTCTATCTTCACAGGCTTCAGCTTATTCAATGGGACGGCTTCCTCCCGACTGGAGAGAGACCTTCGTCCGAGTCGAGACGCGGTTTGGTCCCGGCAGTTTCGCGACTCTACGCGAATAAAACGCAGATTTTCAGAACACGAGGTCGTCGAGACGAAGGGTTAAACGAACGGCGCTCGATGGAGAACGGAATCTTCCGTCTCAGCCGCGCTCGGCGCGGTTCCGGATTGATGAGAAGGTGGTACACGAAGAAAACTCTCGGGCGGAGAAAGCGGCGAGCTATTCCAACGTGGGATCCTTGATTGAAGGAACGTCGCGGACAAAGAGACGAACTTTCCAAGTTTTGCAAAACCTCCCCGGATTCTCTTCGTGTACACCATAGGACGGATCTACGGTTCTTGGGAAACGAACGAGTCGGAGAGGACCGGGACGGTAGGGGCTTTGGAGTCTCGTGGTACTTACCTCCTCGTTGAGATTGCTGACGAGCAGCACGGCCGATGCTTGCGCGCTTCCCTGCACACGGACCCCTAGACCAGCCGCACCGAGCGGGAATCCGCCGAGGCCGGCGAGACCGCCAGGCGGGGGCACGCCGTTGTAGGGGCCGGCCAAGGGTGAAGCGAGGCCGTGCATAGTGAAGGGCGTGGGCAGCACACCCGGTGCCCCTGCAATGGACTCTACTTCAGGAAGTTCAGACGACATTATTACATTGCCGACAATAATAGGTATATAAAAAGATATAAAAAGAAAGAAAAAAACGGAAAGAAAGGCGAATAGTTTGGAAAACCGCGCGAACCTGCCTCCGGGACTTCCGGGGAATCGTAAAGTCCGAATGTAAAATCTAACCGCGGTGTCAAAATTTGCCCCATGGTCGTTTCCATCGAGTTGAACGGCCTTCTAATTGATCGCGCTTCCGCCGTCGTGATTTTCGGAGACCCGACCGACCGACTGTCGCGAGATCGCCTCAATCCTCAGTCATCAACGGACTGTTTGCGTAACGAGATGGGGCGCAAAAGTGGATTACATCGTTACAGATTAAACACCAACAACAACGCCGTGAAATTAATTTAATCCAAACAAGCGCCGGGCCGAGCGTGTAATTTAAACTAGCATTGTCGCGGTACAAACGGCAAAAATCCAGGCGATTCGGCGAGCCGGATCGCTCGCCCGGTACTTTGTACTAATTAATTAATTTACCCGAGGAAATAATAACGTCCGACCGGCGCACGCAGCGGACAGGACGTAGTTTGAAACGCCAGCAAATTGCTTCCACCATCGCGAGATAATAATAATAATTCAGCCCGACGTCCGAGTGACGTAAAATCGGTATCGCTGCTAATGTAATTAATTCCGATAAACGTAACGCCGCGCGATCGTGCCGCTAATTGGCCGATCAACCTTCCAATTGTACTTTTCACAAAGCTCCGGCGGGCTTTTACGCTCGCTAAAAAAAAATGCAAATACAAAAACGTCCCGAATTCACTCGGAATCGAATCGGCGAATCCCGTAAAGCTCACCTGTCACGAACCATTGCGCGCGTATTCAACTGTTATCGGGCTATTATCACACAAAATCGTGTAAGAGTAACGCAGCTCATTGTTTACGCGTCTCGCGTAAAACCTGTTCAGAATTGCTCCGGTCGAACTTCATCAGACTGGGGGTTTAACGGCGATGCATTTTGCGAAGCGCTCGTGTGACGCGAGTTACGGCTATATTAAATTATTACCGAGCACTATGCACAAACGTTCAAGATTAACGCGTTTATCGATCACACCGTTTATTAAAAAATTATTACAGTTTCATTTCAACATTAAGATTAGCTGCGTTCGGCACTGCAAATCTGAGGCGTCGTCGGTCTCTGCGTTCGAGAGAGGCAAAGCATTCAGATGCCTCAGATGTGTAATGGCGAACGCAGCTATTGTTGTCTCAAGATAATCTTACAGCGATTTCGGCAGCTTGCACTAGTGCGCACTGAGCACGCTAAGGCAAGGCTTGTTCAGAGTCTACTCTTATATTTACGGTCATCTCAAGTATACAGGGTGTCCCAGGAGGAAACGTCAATATTCTGGGAGATGATAGTATCGGTCATTTTAAGCAAAAAAAAGCTACTTATAGAGACCCTGTAATCAGAGACTGACCATATAAGAGTTCGTCAAATTTCTGCGAGTGAGAGAAAAACATAGGCTATCTCACTCGCAGGAATTTGACGAACTCTCTTATGGCCAGTCTCTGATTACAGGGTCTCTAAGCTACTTGAATGTCCCGTGTTTTTACTTTTTTTCTGTACACTGCACCCTTCATCCAACCTGATAAACGTCTGCGGAAATTTACTCTTATACGTCTGTTGACTATTGTGCTGATAACATTGTAGAAATGTTAAAAATGTCTCGCATATTCACAAATTGCTCGAACGAGCAACACGCCATGTTCACGCAAGAGCTGAAAAATGCATTGTTGTTAACGGTGGAATTTTTGAAAATTTATTATGATCTGTAAAAAATGTATCGCGTAGACAATAAATATTAGAAATAGTACGTAGTATTTCTCTCTTGTCAGTAATTTTGCAACTGTACATTCACATAGCTCTATCACGGAAACAGTGGGGAATGGGGACGTATATTCATATGAACATTTTTGCTTAAAATGACCGATACCATCACCTCCCGGAATATTAAACTTTCCTCCCGGGACACCCTGTGCATGTCCAAAAACTATTTGGCCAAAACAATGATCCATACGAATACTATACGGATCATTTTACTGGCTAAGAAGTATTTCGAAAAGTATTTAAGACGATCCTTAAATATATGAATTGGCACTCAGTGCGCACTAGTGCAAGCTGCCGAAGTCGCCATTAGAAATCTACCCTTGAGCATCTTAACGGAACACACCCCGCGCGCGTTCATCAGCAAGTAAAAACGATTCACTCGGCAGGCCAAACGTAATCGAGATTGAAAAGTTTTAGAAACAGATTTTACAATACTCACCGGGTATTCTGGCACGTGGCTGGGAACCGGCACCCATGAGCAGCAACTCGCCGCCGAGGGCGAGCGACGCCGCATCCAGATTGGCGTCGCCGGTCGGAAGATTCGGGTTGGTGTAATCCCGGGACTTGTCGTTATTGTACTTGACGTTCAGATTTTGCATCTTACTGTAGTCGATACGCAGCGTGCAGCAGGAGTTGTAGACATTCTGTCCGTCGAGCGACTGCACAAGAAATCATGGAATTCTTCGTGACTCGAGATCAGAATTGGCGCGTTTAAGCTTAGAGCACACGCGGTGGCTAGTAAGATATTTTTAAATAACGACTCAAACGTTTGCGTCGATTTTTTTTCTCTTCGATCTGGTCGATTTATTAATAATTTTCTGTCGAGCTGAAATTTCGATGAAATCGAGACGCTAGTTATCTGTCATGTTGTTTTTATAATGTGCCTTTTGAGTGAATTAATTTGGACTAAAAAGTGATAAACTCCTTTGGAAAAGGGCCATCCTACTGCGCGATATTATCGAAGCAAAATCGCTCAATTAGTTTCATATCAAGAAAATCTCGCGAAGCACACATTGCAGCAAATCCAGGGGCAAAAGAGAAGTTAGCTCTAAAAGCGAACAAGTTTTAAGCCTAATCTACAACGTGCCCTTTGCGTCTAGAAATATTCTATTTTGTAGCCAATAAATACGCTTAACAAATTTGTGCAAGGTGATAAAATGTACATTATACATTGTACAATCATAAATTGTCGACAAAGTTTTCAAGCGTCTCGATTTGCTTACACAAAACAGACTGTTTCTAGACGCAAAGGGTGCATTGTAGATCAGGCTTCAAGAGATCGAGATTGGTAAACGCTGAACAATTAAAATTTAAAGTTAAAGAGATCCAAACGATTCTCGCGGCGAGATTCGCGAGAGTTACGAGTCCAATTTCTCGTAGATCCCGGGGCTTTCCGCTAATCAACGTCCGCTGCAATATTAATCCAGGTGCTTCTGAGACGTATGAAATTTACGTTGCGGCTTGTCATGCGCAAATGTTTCGTGCGCTTAATGCGGACCCGCGAGCCGGTCCAGGTCGCCTGTTTGAGCAACGCGCACGGCGCGCATTGTGCGCGACGAGGCCGCGCGTCCGCGTTACCCCCTGGGGTATCACGCGGGTGTGTATACACCCGGCCGCTCTATATTTACACGGGCTAATGAATTTCGTACATAATTAGCGGGTCGGCCCGCGCCGCGAGCCTTTGGCGTGCGCGCACGGCGAACGATCTCTCTCTCTCTCTCTCACTCTTTCTCTCGCTCTGTTCCTCAGGCGATTTATTCATGGCCGAGAGAACACCGATAATGCATAATCGAAGAGAACGAGACGGATCAATTTTGCCGGCTAATTCGGAGCGACGTGTTTTCCTCTGCTTGTCGGGGAATCCGCAATTTTAGAATACGTCCATATGGAAGTGTCACGATTCCGAGTTCGAAATGTACACGCGAATCTCGATCTTCGAGAGCGATGCAATGCACATTTACTTTAAGACCGAATCAGACTAGCGATTGCCGACGCGGATTCGATTGGGATTGGCGATTGTCTTCTAGCCAATCCCAATCCAATACGCGTCGACAATCGCTAGTCTGCTTCGGTCTTAAGGCAAATGTGAATTGCATCGCTCTCGAAGATCGAGATGGGCGATTGTTTTCTGGCCAATGAGAGCAAAGCAGCCAGCGATTTAATCGACTCTCATTGGCTAGAGGACGATCGTCAATCGCCAATCCCACTCCAACCCGAGTCATTGCTAGTCTAATTCGTCCTTTACACGTTTGCGCGGACCACGCGCGTCGGGGCACGGGAAGGAAAGAAGAAGAAAGGGAGCGAGGCGAAGGAGGGAATTGGAGAAGAGCGATATCCGCAACAAAGCTAAATTAATTTTCTGTCTTACGCGCTGCCGAGTTGGTTCGCGGTGGAACCGGTATATTTCAAGCGAATTAATTTTCCCTTTGATCAGCGCGCAGGTTTACTAGTTTGCGGCGTCGAGCTTACGGCGCGGGGTGAGGCACGAAGAGGGCTAGAGGGGGCGGGCAGAGGGTGGATTTAAACTCGCGGGTAGCGCGGGAAGGGACGGAAGTTTCTGGCGAGCTTCCGCTCGCGATGGCTTGTCGTTGCCCGTGTAAAACAACGCGGTAACACATCCCGCACGCGAGTGCGCCGGCACAGTTTAATTCCAAATGTAACTTCCGAGTGGGAGCGTCGTGAAACGGCGCGGCCCCGCCTCGTTAATCCCCTTCGCGGGTCCGCCCGTCTTTCCCTATCGTTACAAACGACGTCTTCTAGATGTAATTTCCAGTTTCCTATTTAAACGAATCTTCAAGTAACGGAGGACACTTGGACGTATTTCACATTGGTGTCTAGATGTCGATCGCTGAGGCCGACGGCGCACGACACTGGTTTTCCTACTGGACTGCTTACGAGAGTCAATCAGAATTTAAGCCAACGTCGAGTCACCTGAATCTAAAACTCCGCATCCTCATTGGTTCACGTAAGCGACGCAGTAGGGAAAATAGTACCGCGTGCCGTTGGCTCTAGCCCCGAGTTACATGATCTAAAACTCTGCATCCCCATTGGCTCACGTAGGAGATACCGCGTGCCGTTAACTTAAGTGTGGAATCTTAAACGACAGCAACTGAGTAACAAGGAATTTTTTTTAGTGCACACATTCGGTATTTACACGGCGGCGAAGTGGGTTGCGTTCACACTCACTTGACAAAAGTTATCGAGTATCTCAAACACTCATAAGACAGCCGGGAGAGAAGCCGAGTATATAAATCACAGATATGTACAGTAGATTCCAACGGGGGTAGAAAAAGTGTTTAGATCAACAGAAGGAAAGCCAAACTTAACGTACACAGTGAGGAGTCCGAAAGAGTTAATTCGAGCTTCAATTTTTGTGGAGAAAGATCATAGAACCCTCGCCGTTTCCTAGATCGTTCAGGGCGAGACTAGTTTGGGGGGGGGGGTGGATGTTCTACAATATAGTACAACGTGCGTTGTTAGGAAACCGGTAGAGACGTGTAGAGAGAGAATTAGTTGTAGTATCCATAATAGAAAAGGCCTCGGGCAGAAATTAACACGCACATTCTCCAATTCTTTATTCGGTTCCAAGCGGCGTGTCCGCTTCAAATGCCGCCAATCTCTCAATGAGAGAAAAGTGGAAGTAGTTATCGCCAAGACACGTGGGGAGGGCACTTTAGCTCGTGATTACAGGAACGAAACGATTACGCAGGGAGTTACAGGTAAAACAAAATTTACGGCAGAGACACAACTCGTGGTACCTTAAGCAGCGGCAAGTTTAATGCTACGGCTTTCTCAACCTCCTTAAAAAAAAAAACAAGAAAAACAGAAGTAGTTATCATCAGGGAATGGCGCTCGAAATTCTACGGGTTAACCGATTGCAGTAACAATTAGAAAGTCGAAGCGCAATATCGTCGTCGCTTATTCTTTCCTTCTAACGGACGGAGATCGCGATACGGTGACCGGGGGTGTCCGTATCATCGATATTCGCGCCAAGTGCGAGGAACAGAGCGAGAACGACGCGATCGATCGGCCAAGAATTAATTTGGTTTGCAAAGCAGCCGATATTTCCATAAATCCGAGGAAATAGCGTGTATCGGGCGAACCGCGCGATCTTCTCCCGTTCCGCCCGCCACCCTCGTCGGGATTCTTTTCTTCCGCCATCCATCTTTCGATTACATTCATCGGGCTTACTTCCGGCAATTAAGCCGGCGCGGCTTTCGTCGGGATGAGACGCGGGTCGGAAAATATTTTCCCAGCGCGAGATATTCCGCGGAAAATTTCGATCTGTCCCGCGAGAGCGCGGCGGATAAGCACCGCCCGTTACGGGCCTGCCTGGAGACTGGGAAGAAAAGTAACTCTGAGGAAGGGTAGGAGGGGGGGAGGGGCAGGGAGGGAGGGAGGAAAAAAGAGAAGACAAGAGCGAGGGAAAAGGAGGACAACGGGCGCACCGATGGCGGAAAGATGAAATAAAAAGGAAGGACGAGACGCACACAGGCCCGGCGGTGGGTGGAGAGTAGAAGCGAAGTCAAGTAGATACTTACGAATTTAGCGGTCTGCGCCGACAGCATGTCCGCGTACTGTATTAGTGCCTGGAAGGAGCCTGGAACAGAGAAACGATAAAAATCGTGAGACCGCCGTCGTCCGTCCGTGAATTTTACGAGTTTTCCGCGCGAGTCGCGCTCGAGATCGCGGAAGAACCACCGGGTCGGAGAGGTGGCCAGTGAATTCATCGTGCGAATGGTAACGCACGAGAGAGCGGTATTGAGCGGCGAAGTAGATCATTAATAATAATCGTACACCGCAAGAGCGCGGGCGGGGGCCGATTATTTTTTCATTCCGCTTCCTAATGGCGCGCCGCGCAATTTTGCATCATTCGCGTTACGCAAATAGCGACTCCGGCGAGTGGCCCGGAGCCTTTCCCCCGTGCAATCGCGAACTTGGAGGTATGTAAAATAAATAAAAGACGCGAAATCGCAAAATAAAGATCACAGAATATTCCACGAGCGCCGCGCCCCGTTGGTGGAAACGTTGCATGAACGCCGCCGAGAATGCGGCGCTCTAAATGCAAAATGTGCAAACTCCTGAAAATTTGATTCGGGGCCAGAAAACGGCTACATTTTTTTTCCGCGTTAAACGCGCGCGGTATTTCAAGTACCGGCCGGGCGCGGGTACAAAAAGCGGTGATTTGTTAATTTAGTGCGCGAGCGCTGCGAGAAACTAACTCTGTCATGATAATACGTTTTTCCCGTGCGGCCGGAAAGCCGGAATTGTTTCGTTAGCAGCGTTGACCAAAGTTCCAGCCGGCGGCTACGCTATTTCATTTTCGAATTTGCTCCACCGTGATAATGGAACTCTTTACAATAATACGCTAAAACCCGAACACGTTCGCGTGCGCGCACACGGTGGCCGCGCGCGGTTTTGCCGAGGCCCCCCCCCCTTCATTCTTTTTTTTTCCTGAATTCGGGGCCGCTCCGTATGTGGGATTTTACGTAAATCAAAGAGGAACGTTTGATTAAATTCGCCGCGGCAAATTATGCGCCGTTAAAAAGCGAGATATCCGAAAAATTAACGAGCCCGGCCGAATCGAAGTTGTTTTCAAAAAGTACCAATTAAAGTCGACGAAAAACCGTAGCGAAATGGCCGATTGACGTATCGAATAAAAGCCGCCAACGATTCTTTTATCAGCGATAATTAGTCGCGGGCGTTAAATTCGCCGTGTCCGCTCTGTGCGCCCTCGAGCAATCGCGCGGGCGGAAACACACGCGCGTCGCTCCACCTCACGACGGTAAACAATTGCGAAAGGAGACAAACGTTAAAAGCCGTGTGCGTGCGCGCGCTGGACGTTTTGCGAAGTTAATACTACAGAATTCCACCGTCGCTCGCTCTCCGCGTCCGGTCGTACGTGCGACGGTCGGGTTTATAATTGCCATTAAATCTCAATTAAACGAAACGTCGCAAGGCAGCCCGGGCAATTGCAATTTCACGAGTTTTAATCTCGCGTACGTACGTCAAATTCGCGCAACTCGCCGGCTGTGTGGACGCGCGCGCGTCCCGCGATATTTCATTACGCGAAGCGCGTATGATACGAAACAAAGGATCGGCCCGCAGCAATGTTATTTAATTTTCGAATCTCAATTGCGGAAGTGAAAAAGAGAGCTCTCCCGCGGCGGTAGAGAGATAGAGAGCCCGATGTTCCGAGCGTCAGAAAAAGAAGCGCGCGCCTCGCGCTCTTCATCCCACGACAACCGCGGTCTCCCGTGGACGAACGATAATCGCGATGATAACGTTTACTTTGCTCGCGGACGCGGCCTCGCCGTGCCTCACAGTAACCGAACGCAGAAGTTTTCATTGAAAAGTTTTTTTTATTACAATCTCCCGTTTGAAAATACCGCGCGGCTCGTCGCGAGCCGGAATAACCACGGTAAAGCGGGATAATTTGCTTTTGTACCGCCGACAATTTTGCTTTTGTGCTATTTACAGCGTCAGAGCGAATCCGTTTTGCGTTATTCAAACGGTAATTGAAATATCGTCTGAAATTTCCCTCCCGCCGCTCGCGAGCGTCGCGTCCCCCGCGCGTAAGGGAAACTGATCGATAGTGCGCGAGATTATCAGGACCCACGTGGCGTCGCGCGAACGTCGAAGATCCGCGCGAGATTCTTTCCGGTTTTTTTCGCGCATTTGCGCCCGCGTTTAAACGGCAACGCGGACTTCGTGGCCTTTCACGGTTCAACATTCGCAGCGAGCTTGCGAGCGGATCGCCGCGAACGCCGAATCCTAGGAAGATCCGAGAGAGAGAATAGCATCTCTCTAACGATTCCGACACGACCGTGTCGCTTCCTAAAGCACAAACTAGAGGTGTGCGAATCGCTTCGAATTCGAATCGAATCGAACCACTAAAGGTTTTTGAATCAAACAGATTAGCATTCGAATAATTCTACAATTTCGAACCAGTCACTTTTTTCCTCTAATAAAGGTAACAATTGTCGTGCAATAATAAAATCATTTGTAAAATAAACAATGTTATTGAAAAACTGGTCGAGTTTATGGGTTTCCTTTCAACCCGACAAATGAGTCCAGGAAAGATCGATTCGAACACAAAAAGACTCAATTCGATTCAGTTTGAAAGCACTTTGAAAGATTCGACTCGATTCGACTCGCACACCTTTTGGTTATCACATACATTACTCGTAAATTGCCGCACTGAGAAAAATTTCCATCGGATAAACCAATAGCGTTTCCGATGGTTATTTTTTCCGATTAAATTACGAATACATCCGATGAAATTAGTTACCGATAAAATTTGATTGACCAACCGATCATATTTTTCATCGAATATAATATTGGATATATCCGTTTGTTATTATGTAAATGGATTATCCGATTATGTTTAATTGGACATTTTTCTCAGTGCAGTACCACATAAATTATTCGTAAATTGCTGCACCGACAAAAATTTCCATCGGACAAACCAATTAAATAGCGTTTCCGATTTTTAATTTCAATTCTTCCTCGGATATATCCGCTTGTTAATACGTAATTGGATTATCCGATTATATTTAACGGGACATTTTTCTCAATCTGGCAATTCGAGACGAAATAATGAACGCTGCCGCCGTCGGGTTTTCGTGCATTATGCGCCCGCCCCGATAACGATTTCGCCGCGAGGTGGATTTCAGGGAGACACCCTTTGGGGCACTCGACGCGATTCCGAAAGTACTAACGGCGCCAAGTGCGCGTAACGACGACGGCAGGCCAGGACGCACTTGAAGCACACTGGAGCACCAAAGTGCCGTGTGGTCTGTCTGCCAACGGGAGCGGAATCCGCATAGCTCGCGAGTGTTCCGCTCTTCCGCCCGCTGGCACATCGATTCTAGGTCGTAACGTAACGACGATACGCATATTAAAAGCGGTACTTACTGTTCTTTGTGAAAGTGACGATCTTCAGAACCTTGCCGAAGCGCGTGAAGATCTGCAACATAGAAAGCGAGTCTTGTCTGAGAAAATGTCGATGGGTGCGTGAGAAATCTTATCTCGCGACTTTTATCTCCCCCGATAATTTTATACCGAAAACACAGCCGTGTTCACCTCGACGATCGTAATTACGTATCGCTCGCGACGGCAATTAACGAAATTCAAGGCGACGCGCGTGCGGGTGTTTCGCGAAAAATTACCTCGATTGAGTCTCGTAATTAATGAGCCTACAATTGTCATAATCGTATCGCCACACGCGCGCACGGGTGGGACGTGACCGGCGAAAATTACGAGTTCGGCAAACCGACGATATTTCGCAGCGGCGAAATTACAAAATAATTGGTGCGGATATTACGACAAAGCGATTTATTTCGGGGCAACGGGCTGCGAAACGGGCGCGTGGATTATCAGACTTGTAACGCGGCAATTATCCTCGGTAAAGGCAGCTATCGGGAATCCCCGCCCTCGCCCGGTAAAACAGCGCTCGTAATTACGATAACCGGACGGGCGTGTTCTAAAAAATTGATTCGCGACACAACGGGCGCGGAATGGCATTCTGTATAAATACCGACGATATTCAAAGGTCGGGGGGGGTAACGCTCGCTATGAATTTTCGAAAGCCTCTTTGGCGAGAGGACGGCCAGCAGCCGGCGCCGCGTCGACGGGAGCGGTATCACGCAATATTTACAGGCGTGTACGGTGTCGAGCCGCGGGCTAATAATCGCGCACGGGCTCACGTCAAACCGCCGGCCGTCATTGTCATATATTTGGCCGACAATGCCGATGATCACATTAATGCCGCGAATGCAAATATTTGGCCCGGTATAACCATCGCGCGCACGCGCGCTCGCAAACGGTATACGCTGTAAACGGCTCTCCTCTGGCTGCCCGGACCGTAACGCGGCGGCTGCGGGATTAATCATTTTTTTCATCCGTCGGCTTTTCGCGCGATCGATCGCGAATCATTCCTCGTTAAGGGGATCCTAAAGCCGCTGACGGACTCGATCGGTGTCGATAAGATAGGGGACGGAATTAAAAACGTCAATTATCGACATTTTTAATTCCAGGTTCTACCCGGTCCGAGAAATTTATAGCCAATCAATTTGCAACTTTTACGAAAAAGCAGCAATTTTATTAGCTACACGTTGCTCGGGCCGAGATTTTGGATCGAATTCTAGCGTCGTCGACAACATGGCTTTACTGACAATCTGACAGAATGTTCGGCAGCCAATCACAGTTATTCCATTCTTCTGTGGAATAGTTGTGATTGGCCAGTTTTATAACTGCAGATGTTATTAAACCCGATTAGGGTGCCGTGTAATAGCACTCATTGTCTCGGCCTCGCGTCAATTAACGGCTCGTTGCGTCGTTTTGACAATGGCATTGATTCGAGCGCCTCCTCCCCCTCTCCGGACGTTCGAGATTGTCGGAAGGGCGCGCGTCGCTCGAGTAAATACGTAAAAAGCACGTAAAAGCGTGACCGCGAAGAGAGATGAAAAATTTTCGACGCGACCGGGACACGGGGAGGGGCAGGGGGCGGGGAAACGTCGCTAATGCGAGCCGCGTTTTAGCTCCCGAATATTCAATATTGCACGCGACCCGCGGCATACCGAATGTTTATATTTCGCCGCTAACGCGACGATAAATCCGCGAAATTGAAAATAGAGAAACGCGCCGGGCATCGTCGGGAGAGGAAGGGGAAAAAAAAGGAACGATCGCAATATCGCGGCGTGTCGCGCCGGCACATAAAATCGTACGAGGATGCATTTCTTACGAGCCGCGCCCTCCCGCTTTGAGATCACGCTTCCTTTGAGAAGGCGCGCCGAGAGTGTAGCGCATAAACAAATTTGCGATCTTTACAACCTTTGTAAGACTCTTGCATTCGAAATTGCCCCCCCCCCTCCCTCCCCGCCCCGAAACAGTTTTCTCTCGCGAAACCGACGCGACGACACTTTCTTCGACTCCCACGTCGCGACTCTCCCTTTTCGTCTTTCTCTCGCGCTTGGGAAAAAAATTGCCGGCATTTACGTTTCAACGATTAATTCATTCGGGAAAGGAAAAATCGCGGTAAGAAACGCAATTTGCGGAAACGCAAACTGATTTTTAAAACTCGCTAATGAGTGCGTAAACGTCGAGATCGCGGGGGCGTAGCGCGCACCGGTGTGTATTCTTTGATAAATTAATTCTCGATTTTCGCGTTGCCGCGCATCTTTTGGCGCGCATAGGAAATGAAAAAAAATTGCTGTAATAATGAATGAAATTCTAACGCTGAAGGGGGGTACATGCGAAAGCGGCTCGGAAGAATGCGAAACACGCGCCGCGGGCTTTGCACAACGACTCCCGTAATTAGTGAGCCCCAGAGAGAAAAGATGTATGCAACCGTGCTGCTGCATCTGCGATGCACGCGTACACCAATTGGGACAAAGACTTTTCGCGTGCCAGCGGCGCGGCAGGACTTGAACTAGAACGAGGCTACGGAAAAAAAAATTTTTTTTTTTAAACAAGTCGACAAAGCTGAGCTGCGCAATGCCCAGCCGTGGCGCGCGCATGAGTTGTCGGGCGAATGAAAATTCCGAAAAATGGAATTCTTTAATCAAAACTGGATAGGCAGAATATTCTCGCGCGGAGAAGAGGACGAGTTTACAAGGGGAATTCAACGCGGCTGCGTTAAATTTCAATAGTACATTCTTGAATAAATTTTCTAGCTTTTTCTCGCAAAGGTTTTAGACGGTGCCGCCCGCCGTAACTTTTCAATTCTAGGAGAATAGTGAATAGCGAAACTCAGTGTTATTAAATAAGATTCCGCGGTGACGATTGTTCCTTTAACGCAATGACCATTTTTTATTGAATCAACGCTCACGGACAACGCTTGGATGTTGCGTAATTGGTACGTTTCTTAATATTTTCTTTCGCTTGTTTGTACGCTGTAACAATTAGCCGTTTCCGATAAAGAGCGAGCAGGCTTTCCAAAGAGATCGTTAAAAATAGTTCGAAATGTACGAGTGTTAACTGTGTTAACGGTAATGAAATTTGCCTGCAAACGCCGAGTATAATCATTACAGCCCGGCCATTAAAGAGGCACCGATAATGATAAAAATCGGCGGCTTCCACGCAGCTAGATTTCCTCATTATCGTTACGTTTACATTCCGCGGCGAGCAACGAGAATCATTTTTACGGTAATCGCGCCCGGATTCGGGATTTTCGAGATAGCAAATTACACATCGACTCGTACGCTGCTTTTTCACGTAACGAGAATCTTCCCTTTCCTTTTTTTTCTCTCCGCGTAATGCGCGTAGCATCAGCGTTAATGCACCGCATAACGTAACGCACACTTTTGACTAAACCCGCTGGGAAATATTGTATTTCTACGGAACCGACGTTACGCGCCGAGCGCGGATGCTGCCGAGGAGGAGCAGGAGGAGGAGGAGTCGAGTATCACGCACGCTGGCTCGTATTACATCAAATAGAGAATTCGATTATCATAGGTCCATTATCGCGGATGTTAAGCTCGGAGATTGTAAACCGAGTAAATTAAAAGTAGATGGATCGTTGGCGCGCGGGCAGTTTCAGCCCGGGACGGCCGGGACTCGCGAAGGCGGAAAGGCGATAACGATGATAATGTTTAGAATATATGGATTACGGTTCCATCCATTACGTTCATACATCCGCGGCGTCCATTACAGGCCCGCAAGACCCGCGCGGCCGTAATAGTCCGCCCCGGCTATGCGCAATCTCCCTCTTCGCTCGCCATCGCGGCTGCAGCTGCAGCTGCAACTGCCGCGCGTCTCCCCCGAGCGCCGCGGCGCGCTATTTACAACGCGTAATACGGAAAGCAGCAACGGCGGCAACAGCAACAGCGCACCGTTGGGCCGTGCATGTTTTTATCCGTTTTCCGATAAAACGGAAAATATTTCAATTTTGATGTTCGAATTTTTGCCGTCGCGTTTCCGGCTCGGGGGATGCATGCGTCCGACCGAAAACAGTTCGATCACGAGCGGATATGAAGTCGCGATGCGTCCCGTCAGTATTTACCCCGAGATTGCCCCAATAAACGGACGGATCGATGATAATCGCTAAGTACGGGGGGAAAATATATCCCGGAATAATAGACGGACATCTCTCATATGTCTTTTCTCGCTTCGTTCCCGAAGGATGGGCGAATTTGTAGGAACTGCCGCGATCGAGTACGCGCGACAGCTTCTCGACGCTGAGTTTTTGTCACGGAGAGAATTTTCTTTTAAAATTTATCCTGAAAATATCGCGCGATCGTGGGACAACACGGCGTTTCGAAGAATTTTATGAGAGTCCTTTGAGAAATTTTACTATACATTTTACTAGTAAAATGTATGGTAAACTTTCAAAAAAAAAACTCTCGTAAAGTTCCTCAAAATGCCACGTTGTCCCACGATCGCATGGCTTTCAAGGCAAGTTTTAAGAGAAAATTCTCTCTCCGCGTGTAAACTTACAATTATAATTTCAAATTGCTACCTGTTATTGGTCAATTCCTTCTTTCGTAATTTTTGCGCCGCTTTTGCTTTTATGATGAAATACAACGCCGATAATAGATCGACGTCATATAAACATCGGCAGCGCGGTAGAAAGCTCCGGCTTCCCTTGGCGTTTACGCGCGTCCATTACAAACATACTGTACAATAAAATTAATTAAACCGGCATTTAATTAATTAATCGAAATCTGACAAATTCCCCGCTTCCTGCACATCGGCGCAAATTGTCCCTGTGAATTTCGGGGAAATTCGAGCCCCGTAGGCGGTAACGTTTATTATCGGCGCAGTTGATGCATTCCAGGATTGCTGCCGAATACACACAAACTTCTGTTCGTTATTGCACCATTATTCCCCTATTCCGCTATTAGCGTTTGCCTCCTACTGTTGTTAGAAATTAGGGAAGTACACTCGGCCCCCGTCACTACTTCACGATATACCGTACATCGTGCGACACGTGCGACTGAAATTACGTCGCCCATTACGTATCAGCTA